ATTATTTCCAAGTTTACTGTGTTGAACAACATCAAAGCCATTCGCGCCCCACCTCATACTTTTCCTGATGAAAAGGTAGAGTTGCTAGGATCGTTTTGGGCCGAAAATACATTTGCTGCCGTCACGAATATTTTTTAAACAACAAACTTGCCCTTTTCCGATGAGTTACTTAGCGGTTCCAGCCGTTGTGGCTTTCTCTCAGTTCTAGCTAAGGAGTTCGATCCTCAGCGGTATGCGCCATTGTTGAAACCATATTCCGTACTCTTGTGTCTAGCAAATTATCCCTGATCTTTTCTCAGTCTAGACTTAAACCCTACTTGAAAGGATCTTCCCTTTGCCAGTCATTATACTTACCTAACACAAAGGTTGGTAACATCAAGCAAATGAGTGGTAATTCTTTTGTAATCAAGTACAACAACATATTTTGGAATAATTACCTGGTGACCTAGTTATGAGTTCTTTTATGAAATTATTTCCTGCCATGGCAAGATGTCTACTGGTGTGCGATCGCAAAATGTTTTGTAACGACGCTCATTTGTTTGACGTGAACTTTCTTCGTCGCGTCCACGCCGATGTTCTTCAAGAAAATACTTCAGTGATTATTAATAATCCTTTGATGAATATTTATGCCTGGATTATGCTAGGCAATGAGGGGATCTTCCCTTGGCCAGTCATTAGGTTGGTAACATCAAGCAATTCTTTTTGTACTCAAGTGTAACGAAACCTTTTGTAAGAATCACATGGTGACCTAGTTATGAGTTCTTTCGTGGAACTATTTCTTGCCATGGTAACATGTCTACATGTGTGGATCGCAAAATTAACGATCCTCCTTTGTTTAACTTGAACCTTCTTCGTCACGTTCAAGCCGATGATTTTGGAGAGAATACTTTCTCCAACCTTATTAAGGGTGTAGTGTCGTTCTCGCGTTTTGACATCCTATTTGGCCTTCGCTTTCATTTGAGCATAATTGAGCAAGGTATTTCAAGTTTTTCTCTTTTTTTTTTGTCAGATTTCTGTTTATGTGGCTAAACTCAAGAGGACCAACGTTTATAACAAGTAATTTTGGTAGTCGCAATTTTTACTGATGTTTATGCCTGAATTATGCTATGAATTTAACGGAGGTGGAAAAGCGCCATTCACGCAAACATCGTCCAATTCAGACTTCATATTATATTTCCATCTTTAATTCCTATAGTTACGTTGTTACTTTAAAGCTAAGATTGTACTGAGACTGCACTCTCGTCCCATTTCACTTTTATTCCCAAGTTCTAGAACCTGAGTCGAAGTTCCAGCTAACTAAAGTAACATTTTGTATTTCCTTTACATTAAGCAACGCGGCAATGACTTACGGCTAAATTGCATATTCTCAGGCAACAATTGAAAATCCATATTTTCTTTTAATTACAAAAATCTCCTCGAACTAGTTCGATACTTTATTATGCCTTGCCATTATGAAAAAGCAATCCAGAACTCATAAAAATATACATAGCCTTAACGTCAGTAGAATATAAGTCGATATTCCAATTTCATTAAGCAAAGTATTTACGAAAATTCGCTTCCTTTACACCCGACCAGCAGAAATAAGTCCGGAAAGCTCGTGAAACTTGAAAGGAATTGAAGTTCATGTCCTCTAATAGTCTCGAAGGTCCCCATAAAGAAGCTTTCACACGTGCGGGGATTTAGCACAGGGCCTGTTGAACTCGTTTCCAGCTTCATGGATCCATTTGTTCGATACTGCAAAAAAAAAAAACAACAACAACAACAACAAAATCCTTGAAACAGTACTGGATACTTCAGTAGCGGGCATCTGCAAATTTGCTTTATATTGCTCAAATATTTTAAGTAGAAAAGTTTGGCAATTTAATTCAAAGCACTGGGTGAAAGAAAGAAGAAGGCAGCTCTTGTTTTCATCAATTTCGTACAGGAAAAACAAAACAAATACATTTGCAAGTAACTTCGGTAATCAGCATAGGTAATTACGACGATTATTTGTGTAGAGTTACAACTGAATCTTACCCCATTTCCAGCCTTTTAAAACCGGGCAGCCGGCGTGACGTGTTCGATAATCTCCCTCTCCCGATTGCAGTAAGTTGTGCCAAAATACCGCGTCCCCCTGGAAAAAAAAGAGGTAAAACTAAAACCTGACGGAAAGTTTGGCAGCTAATGGTAACAAAAACAAAACAAAACAAACACAAAAACAAAAAGAAAACGATAAAGAAAGAGGAAAAGATGAAACAATTATTTGTATGCTCGGTTGAGCACAAGAAGCAAAAATCCTCTTGAACAGATTTCCGGACAATAGCCAATCATAGCTGTGCTTTGTAACCCCAACGCGGACAGCAATTCTCTGACTCAGTTTCGTGCGCCACACTCCCAGACATTCACGCGGCGCGCTAACATCAATTTCTTTGTGTTTTTTTTTTTCGCGCTCATTTTTTTATTTTTATTTCTTACTCGCGCGACAGACCGCCTAGAAGAAAGGACTGCTCGTAATCTAAGTTTCATGCAGTTGAGATTTCGTGGATCACCTTGAAATTACCCAATTTTGAGCATTATTAGAATTCTCGAATAGTTCATATAAAAACTAAGAAATACTCTTAACAAATTTTAAATTCAAATGTCTATTCGTACCTTACTGGGCATAACCCTGGCTCCAACATAGGGGAAAACAGTTGCGCCTCCAGCCTCCACGTCGCTCATCTGAAAATGTAATTCAAGGAAAAAAGAGTTCAAGGTCGTTTGATAGAAAACTGTACTTAAAATTTTGAGTAACTCTGTCATTTTGATGAACAGAGGTCTATTGATTGAAGAAAGAAGAATGATTACTTCCAACTTTGGTGATTAATTATAAATAATAATAATAATAATAATAATTTAATATTTATATTGCGCAAATTAACATGTGGATATGATCAAATGAAAATCACAACACTTTTCGGGGGACTTTGGCCGGACTGCATCAGCAGTTTACAAACAATCGAAGGAAACTTATTTGAAGATGCCCCCTCCCCCCCAATTCCCAGTAAACAGGCCAGACCACATCAGTAATCTCGTGAGTGGGTTCTTTAACGTCCCCTGCCTGACCAAATTAACTAATTAATAGATGCAGGAGACAGAACATACAAACAGCAAACATATAAAAAGCTCATACAAGCAAGATAGACTAGAGTTTTGTTGCTAAGCAAATGAAAGAAAACATCATCATCATTAACAACAACAGTAGTAACAACACCCAAATTAACCTATGACCAGGCGTTCGTTTTCGGGAGAGCGCAAGAGTAGGGTAGCCTAAGAGCCCACTCGCTGAATCTTACGCTGCTATGCTATCACTCTTCCTAAAAAATAAAAAAGGGAAAACACGGCGAATAAACTCCTTAAATCTCCTATTCTTGGAAAAGGTCCATTTTCTCCTGTTGCTCGAAATTCGCTCGAAATGTGAAATAGTGCTCAAATGTTGCCCAAAATGCGAAAAAGTGCTTAAATGCAAAATAGAGCCCCAAACTCCAAAAAGTGCTCAAAAGGTGCTCAGCGCAATCGGGAAAGGCCTAGTAGAGATATCAGTGTAGAGAGTGTAAATATTTATTAGTGACGTGAGGACAGCAGGGTCGGACGACTTTTTCTACGCCTATTCACGTCAAACCGTTTGGCACTGTGCACGTCAGCTTTTGCCATGATTTTCTATGGGATTGCGCGGGCGAGGCCGGATGGGATATATAATAAAAACACTTATTTTAGGGTATTAACTGTTATCTAGTCTGTCTCAGTTGACTACGTTTGGAATAACAGACTCTCGTATCCTTCTAAAAGTAAAAACTGCTTCAGAGATATTGAAAGATCCAAAACAACACCCTGATTGCCCCTTTCTGTTCCTTTAAGTGCCGCTACCTTCACAGACCTTAGCTCATCTCAGAACATTTGTAGAAAGTGACTGAAAGATAAGCAATTGGATAATCCGTAAAACAAACCACTTACATAAAGAAGAACTGTTGCTATTCTGTTTCCTGTTCCAAGTTGGCCTAATGAGGAATTCTGAAGATCCTACGCAAAGCAAAAGATATCTTAGGCATTGAGCATAAAAAGATTACATGAGAACCGCAAGAGTGGAAAAAACAAGAGACATCAATCAACACAACATTTTACCCTTGAGAAGTCAAAGTGGGGATCGTAATGTCCTGCTAATCCATAATTTTGCACCTGCAGGACAAAATGAGTTGAATATTTACTTTGGCGCACAAATAGGAAAAAATGGGAAAAAAATAGCGTAAGGACTAGAGTTCATCCCGGATTCCATAGCCTGACTAAAGATTGTTACGCCTCCCCATCGCTTTGACAATAATGAGATGTAAATCATATTTTTTTCTTAATTCTAAAAATTATGTCCCTTGTTTCCAATAGTTTTGAACAAATCGTCCGTTAACAAAGCATTTTTATCTGCCTTAATGCAACATGTTTCCACTCTAAAATAAAGCATTTAAAGAGTATTTCTTCTAAGTAACACAAGATGTAAAATGTGAAAAAAACCTGGAAATCCTCAGCAGTTTCTAAGTTAAGTCCAGTCAACGCTGTCATCCGTCGGTTGACGCGGTCAATAAGTGGATCATGTCTTCCGCTTAACCAACAACTAGAAATGATAGTGATTCAGAAGTGAGAATGAAATATCCGACTCCGACTATCAGATGAAGACAACGACCTAAATCCAGCATAGAACGTTTTCAAGACGTAAATAATACAAGAACTGAACAGAACTTCCTTAGCCGGTAAATCGAAACTGAGTGACATCGACTAACGAGCTCTCCCTTGCAAAATAACGCCAAACTGACCATTCAGTTTCCAACAACCAAGCCTCACTCAACCCTTTGTCCATATAATCATTCTTTTTTAAGTCAGTTCTTACTTATAGCCACCGAGGTAATGATGAGTCACTTCCGACTTCACGCAAATCTCGCATTAAGAAAAGCAAATCAACTTCGATTACATGGTTTTGTTAAGCGACTTAAATTGAAAAGAGGGCGAATTAATAAAATTACGACCACAGCTTCAAAATTCAACAAGAAATAATCGATTATTTGACATTTATAATTAACTTATGTTTAAAAACAGTATTTCCCCATAGACCATAGTGCGTATACGCAACATGATTGTGGAAGAAAGAATTTTAAGAATGATGTATCATTCAGAATACCTACTTTTTGCTTATCCTGTAATGAGCGAACTCTAATTTTCCTGTTACTGGATTATGAACAGTCGCCCGGTTTAACTGTGGAAAGTATGAATGAAAGATTAGCAAAAAGAGAGATTTAAAAACTTGACTGCTTTTTAAATTGCCCCTGAAATGAAAAATATCTATTTTTTTTTTTTGTACCTAGCAAATTTAGTATGGGGTCAGAATATTTTCCACATTTGGAAGTAAGTTGCCAACCTTTACACACAAAGCATGCTAGGTTCACACGCTGACAATCCTAATTTTGACATTTATGTCTCGCCCGCTCCAGCACTCTCCCGAAGGAACTTGAATAAAACACGCAATATTAACGAGTAGTTAGATAAAAAAAAAAGTGAACAAAACGTATAATTTTTGTCATGAAAATGAGTTTTAAATTAAAAAAAAAAATGGTAATTTTTTTGCCATGAATAACTTTGACCTCGAACGAGAGCAGGGAAAACAAAAGTCAATCGACAGTAGAAGTACGTTACGTAACGCCCGTAACGTTCTTACCAAAGGTTTCGATATTGTTATGACTTTATCGATCTCAGCATCGGTCATGATCTGATGGAAAATCATGATGTCTGGGTTAGTGAAGACAACTTCGATAGGACACCTTTTGATAGTGCAGAGTGGGTGACCTGTCTTATAATAGCATCTAAGTCTCTCTGGGCTTTGAGGGGACTGAAAAAAACAGAAGGTACAAGATGTCAGAAAGGCTTTACGCGCTTTTCGATTGTTGTAAAAAAAGTATTGTTTTCCCAGCAGAACTTAATATTTAGCGAAATAATTTGGATATATCAACAAAGTTGAGATGGTAAATTGGCCACCGTAACGATTACAAAAGCTCCGACAAAAGCTCCGACGAAGGGCTAACGCTCGAAACGTCAGCTTTTGTAATCGTTACGGTGGCCAATTTACCACTTCAACTTTGTTGATATATCCAAATTATTTCGTTACTCCCACCGACGCAGCCCCAAACAGTTTCTTTCGAGACTATCAGCCTTTATTCACTAATATTTAGGACATAACTTATTCTACTTACACACATAATAGTGTCAACAGTATTGATCCCAATAGAATACAGGTAGTTGTTTCCTCATTATCCCTTCCGCTCCCAAAATCTCATTCGTAATTCTCCTAACTGTCTGCAATACTATTCTTATGATGTTCAATCAGAGAATTTGGTATTGCATGAAGTAATAATTGTTATTTTTCTTTATTCTCATCACTTGTCTGCTTGATATTGTATCAATATTGTAAGGAGAAATTCTGTCTTGGTCATTCAGGGCAACTAAAGGGTTAATTATGAAACTAGCAATGACCTGGCGAACCAAAAGGAAATTTCTGTAATTCAGCAACAGAATATAGGATCACGAATTCGAAAACCGAAGGTCTGGGATTAGAATCCTCTTAGGGAACAGATTCTCACTTTGTACAACGCTTAAGATAAGAAAATTATTTTGTATAAACGGTCTCTAGAATTATTAACGACTGAAGCTTTGCTTCCGCTGAATTCCTAATTCAAGGTATTATGAAATAAGGCATATTACACGATGTTTAAAGAAGTTGAGACCTTTAACACAGCGGCCTTACTTCTTCTGAACATTTTTCAATTTAGTCACTTTAAGTCAATGCCAATCTCCACAATCTTCCACCGTCCCAGTTTTCTCATTCCTTTTTACTTTGTTCTACTACTCTATTTAAACAGAATTCTCCTCCGAATCAACGACACGGCCCTTGCACTTTTCAGCTTCCTTTTTCAAAGACAAACCCACCTGAATATCTCAATACTCGCTTAACTCGTCGTGTATTGCTAATTCTTTTACTTACACGCGGCATTGTATCTCCTCGACACAATTTCTTAAAAATACGTCTCTCCTCAAACCAATCAAAGATCTTCAGTGTCGACTGAGGAATCTTCGTCGCCAGATAACTGAATTTTCGTTCCTGTTCTTTAGGTTTCTGAGATTTATCTCCGCCATTAAGCCTTTGATATTCCTTAAAGTTGCCAAGATTTGTCAAAGATCGATCATGATTAGGCACTGAAATAGGAAAAGTATCAGAGTTTAAGCTCAACGTTTGCGCCTCGACACTAATCTGCATGAATATAAATCTTTTTATCTATTAATCCATTCAATTTCACAAAAGGGGCACAAATGGTAACTGACAAAAAAAACTACTTTCAGCGTTTTTTTTAATTTTACTTTACGGATGACAAATCTAAAATCTTACTGGTCTCAGCGTGAGCTTTTTGGATGAGCTTGGAAAACAAGCCAATTCAAAGCGCCTTCGATTGCGAATTGATGACAAGCACTTGTTAAAACAACAGCGAGTATAGTAGAAACAAAACAATTTAAAGAAAACAGCCTGAAGAGCGGTACATACTTAGTATGCAGGAACTGTTTCACGTAACTTAAAGCGATTCGCTAGTTAAGATGGAAACGATGACGATGCATGAAGATTGACATCTTAGTTAATGACAGGAACTGTTTCACGTAACTTAACGTGATTCGCTAGTTAAGATGGAAACGATGACGATGCATGAAGATTGACAGCTTAGTTAGTGACACCCTTATAAGTTGCTGAACAACATTTTCAATCAAAGTTGAGTTGAGCTAGCCTCGATAGCAGTAAATTGTATTAAGAAATCAAAGCCAGGAATAAAGAAATAACAACTGTCTAGGAGTGTAAGAAAAATACCTCTATGAGGCAAAATACGCATAACATTTGTCTAAACCATTTAGTGAACGAAGAGAAGCAGAACTAATGCAATCCCAGATCTCTTAAGGATTGACAGAGTACATTCACTTACCGACTTTAAGGGCCTCTAGGGTGTAATTTATCGCACTTTTCACATCCCCAAGCTATAAGAAAAAAAAAAAACTTTTGTAAATAAAAATCGTAAACTAAGTCAGAAAAACGGTAAAAACGATCGATAAAATCCGACGTTTCGGAGTAGTCATGACTCCATTGTATAGGTAAAAATATATCAGATCATGCAAATTACAGCATTTAAAGCCATTTTGGCACGAAGAATTAACATAAAAGGGTGTGAAGATTATGAAAATAAAAAGCAGTTCGCACACTAAACAGCCAAATTTGTTCAGCATTTCTTGAGCACTTGGAAACGCTTAAAAACTATAAACAAAGCACTGCTAATTTACAATTGGTGGCTTTGTAAACTAAGTCGAGTGAATAAGTAGGCTAATGAAAGTGAATCACATATTGAGTCATTTGTCACCCCACCGCTAGTAACCATTCCCCCGTCCCCAATTGTGCTTTCTCTGTTCCAGACATTCAATTAGCAAAGCGAAGTGCGATAATAGAATGCGCGATCGCAGCGGAGTAGTATAACCATGAGGGGGGCTTGGGTCGGGTCGAGCCCGCGCTGTGCTGCAACTACCGCGCCGTTTACTATTTCGCTACGTTTTACTAACTGAGAGCCAATCAAAATGTCTCTAGAATAGATTAGTCGACATAGTCACCTTAAAAGAGGACCAGGCTAGATGATCTAGCACGGAGAATCGACTTGGTTTCTCTTTTGGGTTATTAGGTTCCAGGTCCAATATTTGTAACGAAGCAACCATCCATTGCCGAGTGTTCTCCATATCTTCCGACAAATACGCTCCGCGGCCAAATTTAAATGCGTCCATAGCAGTTATCAGGGAGCCCGATTCAGTCACTATACTGTATTTACCTCTAGTAAAGTCTTGTGCTTTAAGGTTGTAGACATCTTGTAGACGTTTAATGGCGGCCATGGCTCCCTCCAAGTCGTCTTGTCCGGGAATGTGTTCGCGATAGCCCTCCAACTTGTCGATGAGTAAACCTAATGGAGAGAAAAAGCTTACAAACAACTCACGCCAATTATTATTCACTATTACAGCGGAACCTCGATTATCCGGACTCGTTGGGACTTGGGTAAATAGTCCGGATAATCGAGAGTCCGGATACAACAACAACAACAACAACAAAAACAACAACTTTATTCACCCTTATTCTTGAGAAGATTAAATTAACATCAAATAAAATATCGAAAATATGAATATTAATGAGACAATAATGTAAACAAAAGAATAAAAGATAACACGTAAAGATAACACATTTTTTATTCTAAAAGTCTGCTTTAACGACTCTCCGAGCTCCCCATCTTTTGAAAGCAGAGGAAGTAGTGCCCTGTTTTAAACGTACTTTTCCTGACTTTAAACATGTTCTCTGAATTTTTTACCTCTTAAAGTTTTGAAGATCAAAGCTCATTAATTTTAATGAAAAAAATGGGACCAGAGAAGAAGTCTGGATAATCAAAAATCCGGATAATCGACGTCCGGTGTTCAACATTCTTCCCGCAGAACAAAGGCTTCTTGAAGAATCAAAAGTCAAAAGAAATTTTAAAAAAAAATTGAAAATTTTAATAATCGAGTTTCCAGTTTCTAGTTCGAAAATAAGTCGCTTTGGCGGTCTTTTAAAATAAGCTATACGTAATATGGTTAAATTATACTGAACACGAAGACTAATGTCTGAGATGAATGGTGCCTCTTTGATTTAGTTCTACTTTATTGGTAACAATAATTATTAAGACAAGAAAGAATGAACGTTTCTTCACGTTGATTTTATTTGCTGGTAAGAGGAAAAACTGTGCAAAAGTAGTGCGTTTATTACACTCATCAAAATAAAGAATATCTTATTTTGGTTTACAACTGTTCTTTGTGACACAGACATAATGTATTAGGTTGAGTCTTAATAAGTCTCCAAAGTGTTAAAAGGCACTAAAAATAACTTAGATTGATAACTTTTCGCTAAGAATCACGACAATTTATTCACTTTTAATAAAAGTTCCCTCATTAAAAAAGGTCCGGACCCAATACAATTAAGAGGTAATGGACGAAGTTAATTTCAAACTGTGATCAATTTAGGACATTTATTTGCCAGACCTTCTGAAAATCACAGTCAATTATCATTTTCACGCAAATATGAATAAAAGCCATTCCCACTTAATTGGTTATTTTTGTTGCCTTTCCGATTAAAATACTCATTATGACTACAAAACATCTTTTAAAAATTTAATCACCGGAAAAGTCATCTGCATCGAACAACGAGAGAACATTCAAGATCTCCTTTCAATGTAGCGTTTTGAATTGATCCGGTGGTAATCAAAGGTGTGAATAGATAAGCGAAACATACAGTGTGCTAATAATTTAGGTAAATAAGCCAAGATGAAGTTTCTTCAATCTTAGGATAAGCAACTAGATGGCGACGAAAACAGGAAAGAAAATTGAGAAATACTGCAAAAAAAAAATCCGCAAGTTTGACCCCAGAAGCGTTTCTGTCAACGACTATTAGTGTTGTATCCAAGTATGACGGTGATGGAAGTCCATTCACACCATTCATTATGGAGAAACTACTTTTTCTATCACTTATTTCAATTACTGACGAGTATATGCTAAAAGCGAGAGAGCAAATAGCTAAAATTGCTTTCTCTGAGCAGCGAAATATCGCACGTTCTCCTCGCTCGGTTGTTATTGGTCTTGTAACACAAACAGAAGCTGCGATTCTTCGCGGGTATTCTTTTAACGCCTTCTCTAAATCACGGAATCCTCTTCGATCGCTCGCGTTGAACTGGCGTCTTCGCAGTTATTTAGTGGCTTACATGACTATTAGCACTACTGCGGTCGACCTGACCGTACAAAGGTTTTATTTTTTGATAAATTAACTGGTTTACCTTCAGCGTCTCCCTCCTCTTGGATCGCCTTCACGTGTGGTTTCCACTCATTCACAAGCCGTTTGATCATTAAATAAGTATTCACTGGATGGCCAATGTAAGCCTCCCTATTATACTTTGCTTGATCCATCACCAACTTCAGATCCTGGTGGAAAGATCTCAATCTATTAAGCCGTGATTCTTGTTCGATGAGATATTCTTCCAGCGCGTCAGTGAGTTCCATCTCTATGTTTATCAACCGCTCCACATGGGACAAGGCCGTGAATATCTCCGACTGAACAAATGTATTTGATGTTATAAAATAGGCTAGAGCGGTGAGGAGCAAATGTCTCGCTGCCATAACGTATCCGAAACGTAGCGGCAGCTTATCGATGAATAACTACAAGGATAGCGGTCGTGAATGGGCATTTGTGTATTCGCAACAACGAATCACGCATGCTCGAGACCATCAAGAGGGATCTTGAAACTGATCGAGGATTTCCATGTCATTTCTAATCTGATATCCATGCTTTTCATCCACCGAAGATTTTTTCGCTTCTTTCTTTCTTTCTTTCTGCTAACAGAACTTCAGAAAAAAAAAAAAACATGTAAATCTACATTTCAAAACAAATGAAGACCAAATGTAGTTGGTAACGCATTCTTCTCAGTCAAGGTACCTGTCGACCAGTCAAAGCCACTTCGTTAATAATTAAAGAGTAAGATGTGACAAAGACCATTGATGTGGTTCGTACGTGCCAAACTTCATGCGTTGTGCAATGAACGACTATTACAGTCGCTTCCTTTTAGATGCAGACGATAAAAATCCCTTTTATTCACAACGAAATCAGTTGTGGATGTGCGTTCGAGGTTCGCGGATTGCGCAGCTCACAACTGGTTTTCATTTACACTCCATTCAGTGCTTCGTCACGCAGTAAACTGATAAAAATTCTAAGATCTCTATTTGATCTATGTTTTGTTCATCGACTTTCGTCGCGTTTCTTTACAAATATTTAAAGATTTTTTTGGATGATGCTTTTATTTTTAAGAGACGGTCCTTCCTTGCTGGGCTATTCCGGAGTTCGCGGATATACTCTAAGCCCAGAATTTGAAGTAGTTATTAACAAATAAGGTTTGTATATAACTTATGTGCACTTTATGTCCATTAGTTGTTCGCCGAAAATGTTAACAGACAGCCATTGAGATAGGAATTGATAACACATATCTGCTTTATACACACGAAACAGGCGACTTTAGCAGGGAGATCGAATATCATCTCAAGTTGCAGACATTCGCCGAACCGTTACATTTTTATTGGGGCCAGCCTCCTCGTTAGTGAATTTTCTCCCTTTCCAAGTTTCAGGAAGAACATTGAACGTCCATACACTGAAAGTTCACTAGCACTGGATGTAAATATTTGGCCAAAGAGCCGGTGCACTGGATACGTTGGAGGTCGATTAATGAAAAACTTATTTAGCAGCCGTTACCTTAGCAACTGCAACCGCCCTTTGTCTTTCACTGGCTCTGTTCCACTCGTCTGCAGAGACTGAGGTCCTCGTGCGGTTCACCCAGTTATCTTCTGCGAAAGAGTTCTCTGACAGCCGGTAGCAGCCATTCAGTTTAGTCCTACTGGAGTGGACAGTTGCCCAGATAAAAATCCTTTTCATAAAAATTTAAAAAATTAAAAGTGAAGGGTGGCATCCAGTACCAGTCCCCCTCTCCCTTGTACGTCCGAGGGTGAAACCTTTAAACTTAAGTGCGCTGGTGCCCAACATCTCATTTCTCCCCACAATATCACCCCTCGATCACATTAGAGACTTTAAGCAGTCAGGACGGCAACGCCACGGAAGACGTCGATTAAAAAATGAGTTTCTACTTTTCGCTAGAATTTCGAAAATGGCTGCATGTGTTTACCGTCTCATATGGCGCCAGACCTCAAACTCAACATAATGCATAAAAGTAGCGTTAAGATCCAAATGTAAATAAAAATAATTTGCCGACGCGGTTTCGGTTCGCAGACGACGCAAATTTTGGTGATTTCACGTTGTTGTTTTGCAAAGGACGGCTAAGAAATGTACAAAGTTTTAAAACGCACGTGCTGGGCTATTGTTCTGCCAATTAGATCTATTGTTTTCCCACGTTCTCGTTGCCGTCGCGGTCGTGGTTTGCTTAAATTCCCTAGTGAGTTCATTGAGCCCTGGTTGTCAAGGAAACGCCCACGCTTTGGAGCAGCTAGCAGAGGGATTCTTTTACTTGCAATTTGTCACGCAATGATTGCGTGATGCCATTTTGATCTAGCATCGCTGAGGGAGGAAATGACAAATGGGCATTTTTCGCATTTGCAAGTTTTTCATTTTTCCCTTTCTTCCTCTGGACATTGGTATTAATTTCCTTGGCCTTGCTTGAGTATTGCTATCAATATTATTGATATGTAGTGCTTGAATTTACCTATATCCCTGAGGCATCAGCGCACGCTTTATGTATGCCCTAAAAAAATATGGATGAACGCCAACAAAGAGATCTTTGTGAATTGATTATCTTACTTTCTCCGGACGCGTGCGGCCAGTCTTCCATCATTCCATTGGTGCAGCTTTGCACCCTCTCGCCAGGAACGAATGTCATCTCGCATGAAACGTTTAGCTTCTCGCGAAGCGATGATAATGTTCGTCTTTGAGCCGGAGAAGATAAATAAAAAGAAAAAATCTTATTTCTGTCTTCTTTATGACCTGTAATTAAAAGTTATTTTCATGTAAATATTTAAAAATCAATTGGCTAAAACTCATGTTTTATTCACTAAACTTCTAGAGTTTTCCTAGTACCCGGCAGGCAGGATTGAACACCTATTGTGCCGCTGTAAATTACACCTGATTATATTTTTTCCTCTTTTGCAGAGTTTAAACCGAAATATACGCCTAATTCTGGCGGAAAAAATTCCTTTCGACCAGCAGAGTTCACAACCAACGGAAATTCCCCACAGCTAACCTATAATCTTAATAAATTGGTTGAAATTATCCGAAAATTATTGCCGGAGAATATAATGATAGAACCTGAATAGCGATTGTCGTTCTAAGAATTTTAACCAGCTACGCCTGGAGCGACAGCAGATTAAAATTCTATCACAAAGAAATAGATTGTATTACTCTTCGATTGGCAAATTCCCCTCGCTCCTGCCTAGAGTTTACTAGCTTTTTTGTGAGCGTCGTAGCGTGCAAATCGAAAAATTACAAATGGAAATTTAACAGCACTGTTATTATTTATTTATAAACTCTTCTTCTAGATGTAAATAGACTGGAGGCGCTTTAAATTTTGTCAAAAATTCGAACAGTGACAAGCTCTAGCTCGAGAATCACTTATATTACCTGTTAAGTCGATTGCATTTCAATGTTGATACTGTGGTGAATGACCGAATGGCTATACCAAAATTGACATCTGAGACAGACAGGTAAATGTGAGTTTTTGAATATTTTTTTTCAACAGAATGTTCTAATAGTTTTAGATTCATATGCATAAGGTGTTTAAGTTTTCTGTTTTCCAACATTTTTCAGGAGTTGAATTTGCATTGCAACGAGAAATCAACTCTCTACCTACACTGAGTCGTTTAGGATTTGAGGCAAGTATGCTGAGATTGTATTAATCTACAAACTAATATGTATCGTTGGAAATGTCTGCACGAGGCGGTAATTGTGTTGGCTATGAGATATAGCTCAAATAAACAAAATATGGTAAGTGTAATTTTTTATGGTAACAATGGCTATATCATAATAGTTCAACGTCCAAAACTTGCATGCAATGGGACGAATCCTTGTTTGGAAGCAATTTCAAATTATTAAGATCAGTGCCTGTGTTTATTTATTTTTGCTAAATTTATGAACTATACTGTGTTTTATTTAGTACTTCGATTTAACCGGTCCCCTGATTCTTATCATTGAGACAAGATCCCTTAAGGATGCCCCACTAGGAAAAACATTTTTTTTTTGGCCACTTCCTATATGGAAAAGCTAATTTCCTTTTAAAGAGAATGCCATCAGCGTCAAAAATCATTGCATTTTTGACTTGGCTGGGCTCTTTCTGATCTTTTTATTATCCAGTAAACTTTTTCGCGTATCTTTACAGATATCTTTCTTGTGCTCCTATTCAAATTTTATTGGCGAAAGACGACAGCGCTTGGTCGAAAGTTTTTGTTATGGAAATTCTTCCAAACTGAAAGAACAGTTTTAAAAGTAATCAATTTGAACAGCGGGGCTGTTTATTCCATAGACGGGTGTTGGCGGTGTATCAACAGCCCCACAAGAAAATTTTCCAACATTTAAAATTATGTACCCTTAATAGTTAAAAAAAAGTGATTATCTTTAGCCCTAGGCGTAAGATTGTCTCTCTTTTCAGACAGGTACATATAAACTGATAAACAAAAGACTTGAAATATGTGGGTCTAAATAAGAACTGCTGCCATCGAAAACAACTATGAAGGTAGCGTTATGTATAGAAAGGCGATCTAATTTTAATTCAGGAATAGGAGAAATGTTAGCAAACACATAAAATCACGTATAGGAAAACAAGCACAAACAGGCCAAACACGCCTATTAATCAGCACCATATCATTGCACGTTGTTAAACTAAAAAGGTTGAAGGAGAGGTACGCTTTAGAAAACAAATGATCTTTTGTTCTCATTGCTATTTGGGGAAGAAAAGGTTGTTAAAGTCTTACCTCTTACTGTCTTTTAACATTCCAAAAAGTAACCTCACCATTAGAAATCTCTCATGAAATAAACCGCAAATTCGACCATGGACTTCACAAATCTTCACTCAGCAACCTGACCGCCTGCCTAATGCAGCTAACAAATGAATAGTGAGAGCTGACATGAGCGGATATTAAACAAACAGAATAGTGGGAGCCGACATGAGCAGATAAACAAACAGCTGCTTCTCTTGTTATCGCCAAACAAATACTATTTAAATCAAAATGGCTTCTTGTGAAGCCCCCTGGAAGTTGTTTAAAAGGACTTTTTCGAAGAGACGTGCAAATGAGGAGCGAGTCCTTGTTAGGTGAGGTTGCTAGGCAATGCTCAAAATGGCGTCCACCGTCGCTGAGGTTTCCAAAAGTTATAGAGGGTTAGTGTTTGCCGAACTGCGGTTGATGGTCACTTTTTTAAGCCTTTTTCAATAGCAGAGAAGTTGTATGGTTCTTGAGTCATACCTCTCCCTCAATGATATTGATATCCCGCTATTATTTGACAAACTGACAAATACCATTGTAAAAATCGAGATAAATAAGATAAATCTATTATTTGAATGTCATTCTTTTAAAAACTCATAATTCCATGTCTTCGCTGTATATTACCTTGTAAAGCTTTTTTAATTATTTATGATTTTCGCTTCTTAATTTTAACATTATAATTAGTTCTTATTAACCGAGTGGGAGGTCTGTATATGAGAATCTTGACCGAGGTTGTCAGTACAGACTGAACCAGACCAGCGACCGAGGTCAAGATTCTCCCATACAGACCGACCGACCTAGCTCGGTTGATAAGATGTTTATTATATGGCTGTGTCTAGAAAGCAACGGAACATTATATTCTTTGTAACTTTCTTTTCTAGACCGGTCTAGATGCCGGTCTAGATGGGAAAATCTAGACCGCTTTCAATATTGATTTCAGCCAATCAAATTCGTAAATTCGGTAGTTCCCAGTCCTTGTGAGACACAGCGATATAATAATTATCATTATTACCTCTATTATCCGACTATAACTATTATCATTATTTCCTATTTCAAATTTTATCGTTAATGCATACCTTGTGAAAGTTGATTTTATGGTATGAATTTCTTTTCTTTAAATCCTCATTAGTCGGGCGACCGACTATAGGTTTACCCTCGGGTTTATACACAAAGCTCAGTCCCGGGCAATGGGGAATACCGCAGACAAGTAATAAAGGCGCAACCTTCTTTCCACCATGTCGAACATGGCGGATATATGGAATATCTTAGCGAATGGTGTCATCTTTTTTACGTTCAAACATACAGACCATTCGCGGTAGACCCACTCTAAAGGATGGCGTGTGTAATGAGCGTATCTTTCGAAACGCGTCGTAAAAGAATCAGATGATCGAAGGTCTCAGTAGAATCAAACCAGAAATCAAATGAGTTAAATGTGGACAGAGTGACAGAAGAACATTTGCTGATAAAACCGAGGTGCTCCGTGATAAAACTCTAGGAAACAAAAACAAAGACCTTTATCGGGATTGTTAAGCTTACATTTGTTGTTTTTGCTAAAACAGAGTACATTATCACCTGTTATTTTTTCTATTTGTTCGATTAGTTTTGTCCCTTTTGTGCGTATATTATATTCGCATATTGTTGCGCAGTTTGCGTCTGTTTGGTATCAAATAACGTGGTGTCGGATATGATGATGTATTGGACAAAGTAGCGCCATGTATACAACAAAAGTGTGACGAATCAGCATTGTGTGTACAAAAGAATGATGTTGCAAAAGAAATAACATAATTTTACAAAAGAATTTAGGTCTCGTTATGCAATGTATGTTAATCGTTGTAATATTAACAATGGTGATCGAGTACCATGTGCGAAGACGATTCGATCGTGATCCTACTCTAACAATCAAGGCACCATATAGTCAAGATGATATTATGTACTTTGGTAAAAATGCTGGAAAACAATGTGTTGTTATGAGTTTGATTGCTTTGATTTATAATAAGATAAAAGGAATACATACCTGTACTGATCTGGTACAATTTTTGGAGAGGGTAATCAATTGTATTCAACATTGTCTCTATGTGCAGGGTAGATGTATTTAATGCAAACAGAATCACCGTCAATGATTGCTTTGTCTGAGAAAAATTGCCAGCTTAATTATAGTGAAAGCTACACAGGTAATCTACATCATTGTGATTCAATAATTGAGGGATATCAATTATTGATATCTATAGACAGGGCTTTTGAATCACCCTTGTCAAAAAATTACTCTTCAATTATTCTGACAGTAGAATGTGTTGGTGTCAGTATCTTACTGATAATGGGAGTTATAATATACTTGATTATCATGCAAGAGACAAACATGTTAGAAGCCATCCCTCAGGTACATGTATACTATTAGAAGTACCATCTATTCAGGGCTTAGTACAGTATTTCCAGACTATACACTCCCTCGGTGACAATTATGAACTCAGAGGAGTGCAGACTATTAGTACATATGAAATAACTGCAGTGAACAGTTTGAGAGAAGAACACAACTGCTCTTGTAAACAATGCTTTGCAGTAGGGCTTTATGCAAGCGTTAGTCAGTAGCAAAGTCTTGTAGTTATTGGAATTCCAGAACCCTATGTTGCATAGCTGACCAAGGAAATATAATGCTATCGTAACATGGACATCAACAGACGTCTAACAAGGGCAGATGTATACGCGAGATATCAGTCCAACTGAAAGTTTAAAGCCTGTAGCCCGTCTTACGATCTTACATCGTCTTGTCTTCATAGAGAATCTTGATTCGCTAGGACCACTTTAATTGCTATGCCAACGATATGTAGCAATAGTTTGTATCATTTCCTCAGTTTTCCATTTTTGTCGTTATCGATACGCATACCGACTGATTTCATGATACTTCGTATTTTCTTTGCAGAGGCAGGTTTTCCTGGATAAGAAGTAACATTTTGAGAACTAACTGACAGTAAACCAAGCGCAAATGCAAATAAGGTTGAACTGCAGAACGTGACGTTAGGAAAGTATAGCCTAAGGTGAATCGTACATTTCTTTTTCCCCTAGTTGTTGAGCTACAATTTAATGCAAATAATAGCGTTTGTAGAAGTCTTGGCTTTAAGAATTGTCCATTGGCAAACATTTCTCTTGCTCTACTAACGTATTAGACACGAAAGTTGAGACAACTGGATTTCCAACCGTATGCCGGTCGAAGTACGGCACTGTATTTTTACTTCAGGACGTGACTGTTCCATCAGTTATCTAACAGTAAGCTGAATTTATGTCATTAAGGTTTGGAAGTTTATGGTCTGGCAATGATAATTTGACAAAAAATTTGCATCAAAACTTTGCAATGCAAAATAATATGGTCTTTCTTTACAGTTTTCCATTTGTAATATCTATTTACATACACTTGCATGCACTTTCGCGGTTTTAAAACTGTTAAGTCTATAATTTCCTGTATTATTGTGTTCCCATATTGGTTTTAAAACATCTTTTGACAACTGTTTGCGTTGAGATGAGTGGGTGTCTGGCGAGAAAGCTTTTAGAATCACTTTCTGACATCTTGGAAACATGATATTGGATTGACAAAACAATAGACAAGACTAGACATAACAATTCAGTATGTAGTACTCTCCAAGCTGTTTACGGTTTAAACTTGGTTATCTGGCATTAGCATTGTAAGGATAATTCTCTCCTTCGCGTTTCTTTGTACATCTCTCGGTATTGCTCGTATCTTTTCCATAAATTGAGACTGCTGACTGTACCATCAATCTTCAAAGAGCTCTCAGGTTTGCAATTTTATACGTGCAGTTTCAGGATCCGGAAGGCAACCTGGTATAAAGTGAGTCTAGCTCTCCGTGATAAATTGTATAAAGTGAGTCTACTGAGCTCTCCGTGATAAATTGCAAATCCATTCATAAGTCACATTTGAAGGGACTTAAAGTAGGGTTTTTCGCAGCTTTTTCAAAGAAAGTAAAAGAAAACAGGAAAACAAACAACTATTCTTTAGATGACGAAAATTTAACGACAGATCCTTGTAGCTTTTGTTTTTCAGCATGATTTCGGAGACATCTGTAAATGCGAATACATCTCGTAAAATGTTTTAAAACCTGATTTCTTTATATATACTAGTCTACTCATGAACTCCTTTCTTTTCAAAATTACTGCGGTGTTCACCAACAATTAGATTTCATTCTGATCCGTTAGTTTTTATTTATTTATTTTTTTTTACTACAGATCTTGACCAATAGGATATATTTTTTCATTGTATTGCATTTTTAGAGCATCGTTCTGTTTGCGGACAATAGCTACTGCTGTGGTTGTGGTTTAGTAATCAAAAGGGGAAATCTTACATCATTTGCTTCCAGTGATATTGCTTTACGTTTTGTTCCCTGAGGGTTATCAATGACCAATAGGATATATTTTTTCATTGTATTGCATTTTTAGAGCATCGTTCTGTTTGCGGACAATAGCTACTGCTGTGGTTGTGGTTTAGTAATCAAAAGGGGAAATCTTACATCACTTTGTGAAATTTATGCAACATTTTAGGCTTAAATAAACTTAAGATGCAGATTTAGTTTTAATGTTATGTGGAGTTTGCTTCCAGTGATATTGCTTTACGTTTTGTTCCCTGAGGGTTATCAAAAGAACATTAAGAAGGAAAGACAAATAAGTGATGACTAAACCACGACACGTACCAACTCTTCGACTTCCGAAAAAAGTTCATAACGCATATTTTTGCAGCTTTTACTCGAAACATGCGCTGATGGTAACGTAAAATGCAAACATTGTACCTGGGTGACTACGTTCGTTTTGATTGAAGCCTTTTCTGTTGGATCAGTATCTATAACTGAACTTGTCATTTTCCATTAAGTTAAGATCATTTCCATTAACATCCGTCAAGACGAAAATCGAGTGAATTGCAAAATGCTCCACTCATACATCTTCTTCCTCTGGGATTGCAAGCGTGTGAAAGGGCAGTCACGCAAGCCGGTCCTTCTTTCTTTGTTCTTCAGTGCTTATCACATGTACACCGCAATTTGATTGCCAATTAGTATAATGTTTTTTGATTTATATCAGGCATCAGAAGTCGGAAGGCAAAAAGACATTTGTTCAATTCAAAATTCATCTAACGCCTGAAACATTACCAGCTTTTTAAATTCGTTCAAACCGAATAAGCAGGCAAATTGTGTCAATTTGTACTTAGGCACACTAATACAATTTAAAGGCCGCCCTGCGAATAAAGACAAAAGATAAAATAATTTTTCATTAGCACAAAATTCAATTAGGAAAATAATCTGGTGCAACGATAGAGAATGTTGATATTGATGATGAAAACAAGGAAGTATTTCCACAATAATATTTTTTAAAACCAAAATATTGACAAATAAGACGCAATCTTGTCCCAGTTAAAATAGGTGAAAATATTTATGGACGAGTAAGTCCTTTGCTTTTGAGTATTGATTGAAATTGTCCTTAATGACTGCACAAATAGTTGATAATTAGGGCAGAGTTTTTAATTTGTCTTTAGAAAACCACGAACGCTCTGGTTGGACGAGTGGTTAATTATTCCAAAAAGAGTCCATAGGTCTATTTTCATGGTCAATATTGGAGTCAGTAAAGTAATATAAACTTTGAGGTTCCGGAAGGTTCTTGCGGTGATTTCACTTGTTTACGCCGCTTAAAATGAATGTAATCTAATTACACGTTTCTTACTTTTTGAAATCAAAAGTTCCGTTCTGAATTTATCCTACACCACGCACCTTTTAGGAAAAGCACTTTCTTGGTTTTTCCGATGCAATAGTTTGTCTCTACCCCAGGTGAGAAAGCTCTTAATTTTATGGGAATTAATTTTATGCGATTCGCAAGTTAGCAATTATCATAGCATGCAAATCGCACAGAAGTGATGGGTCGTCGCAACAATGAAAACCAAAAAAGCTGAAAAAAAAAAACAAAACAAAACAAAACCAATGTGACGCCTAAACTTTGAAGACGTTTGAAAACCTGATTCCAACTCTATAAAAATAACTTATATAAATGTCGAAAGAGGAAGATATTTCTGTCTTATGATCAAAGTTTCACTAAACGGTACTGGCTGTAGGATTAATTTCATATATTAGACAAAAATGAGCTTTACGAATTAAAACAGCGAGAAATTTTGTTGAGTGTTTCAATCAGAGTGAGGACCTTTTATTTTGGATATATAGTATTGAAAAATCCCCATATTTGTGATTCAACAGTAGGAAAGAATGGTATGAAACTATTTTCTGCTTAAACGGATATTTACCACGTAATAAAAATAATTGGGAAAGCTGAGGATGAGAGTCATTTAAAATATGTTCCCCGTTTTGTATACATACATACATACATAAACTTTATTTACCTCGAATTTAAGAGTAGCTGTAAGCTAATATCTTGGATTGTTTTTCTAGTGTACCTGATTTTCCGAAAATATTTTGACGTTTTGCTGGCTCTTCTAGATATGTAGATGAAGGGAATAAGTTTCTGGATAGACTGAGGTTTGCACTGGTAGGGAGTGTTATAAGATAATTTGGTTTTTTTATCAACTGAGTTGATAATGTAAGTTGGCCACCTAAAAGAGTTTCTAAAGCCGACATTTCGAGAGCGATAGCTCTTCATCAGAACCAATGACGAATGAAGAGCTAACGTTCGAACCATCAGCTTTAAAAACTTTTAAAGGTGGCCAAGTTAAACTACAAACTCAGCTGATAAAACTAGATTATGTTAATCTAAAAGTGTATTTTCCAGCATTAACGTTTCCAAGTCCACGATCAAAGCAAACGAACTAAATACTTAGTGTCGAGGGAGATTGAATGGAATAAAATGGAATGTAAAATACAGTTTATTTCATTTAGCTGTCATATCTAAACAAATGACCATGGATGGACAAGACTTCATTTGATATTCCTTTAATGCAAGTTCCCAAACAAATCTAGAATACCAAGTTGGCCAAGATAGCTCTTTCTGGGTTATTCAAATCTTGAAATGCATTGATGATTCGGTTTTATCAACTGAGTTGATAAAGTAAATTGGCCGCAGTAAAGAGTTTCCAAAGCTAACGTTCGAGCGTTAGCCCTTCGTAAAAGCGAAGGGTTAACACTCTTAACGGTGGCTAATTTACATTTTATTTACTTGTAATACATTGAACTATTGCAAAACTAGTTAGTCTTTACTGTCGGTTAATATCTCTATAGGTTGGTCTCGTTAATCAGATCTTTTAATGATTCGCAAATGATAAATTTTGTTCCTTCCTGCCGTTTTAGGGAGGCTTGTTTTCAAGGTGTATTTGTAAATTTCTACCTTCTCAAGCGTATTCATCTTAAATAGAAAATAATATACGGGCACGCAAAGGTAAAGAATTTGTCTTCTCGTGTTGAAGTCGATAGCTCACGAGTGATCTTTTTCGTAAGAAAATAAACCACCAAAGCAGCTTATATAAATGATACGTGCTATTCTATCACATTGCATATCTGTCTTATAGACCTCTATCATAAGCATGATGTGTACATTGCCCCTATTGGTGTTCATATCAGGATGCCGAGGACCACTCAAGTTCGAAACTTATAAGTTTTACTATAATATTCGACTTTAGCCTGTGAATTGCCGATAGTAGTGCAATTGTTCGCCAGTGAAGACTTTTTAGCGGTTTATCGTCCACTTGTCGATATTCGTTCATTGATCTAGATTCCAGTCCCTTAGCCTCAGGTCACCAAAATACCGTGAATGCGAAAGGAACAAAGTACAAGGTCAAGACTTCTGGAAGACTAGAAATCCATTTAAATACTCAACAGTCTAAAGTGTAGAATGTTTTTGCTTGAAGTAGCAAACGAGACGAAAATCTGTCTGCTTCTACGAGGCTGAACAAGCATGATATCCCACAAATAGTGAGTTGTCCTAAAATTGCATTGTGATTGGTCAGTAAACCCCGTATTACACTCTGTATCAACTAATATGATTCAAAGTGGAACCCAGTCGCGCTCGATGACTCACATTTTCCCGCGTAACGAAACTACTTTCAGTTATTGTAAACCTTGATCACTTTGTGGTGTTCATGCATGCTACATCTTTTCTGATGTAAGTTCGCTTTTAAAGATCAAAGTGATTTTTCTCCATTTCCATATCACCTTTTTTTTTTTAGCGATGGAACTTGATAAGTCTGGAAAGGTAATTGATAACACAAACAGGAGAAATTTTAAGCTGCGGTTTCTTGTTAAAATTTATCTTCTGTGTTACTTAATTCTACTGAGAAAGGTGATGAAAATATAAATAGAATTTTTTCGTGAGAGCTATAAGCAATTTTTTCTCAACGCGTTCAGAAGGGGACAGCTATTCGCACATGGTTCAACTCTTGCTGGAATAAGAAAAGATACGATGGAATACTTTGTAACGTTTAAAACCATGCAGAGTCTTGTTGACGCGAAATTTACCTAGTGACAAGAAGTAAGTCTCGTGCGAATATTAGAGGAAGACAAACCGCAATATTCATAACAGACTTGCATCTCTGTTTAGTTTTTTTTAATCTGTGCTGGAAATATTTGACGCAGCTCGGTGATATGAAGTACAACCCAGTCCTTGAAATTCGTTTTCAATGGCCCGATGAATGAATGTATTTTTAATGAACTTTCTATTCTGTGTCGATTTTGATTCTATTTAATCCTAGGCACATGTTTACATATGTACATCTGTCGATAAAGGGGGTTAATTAGCAAGAATAGCATGAAACTGTCTTCAAGATAATGCCGCGCTTTTAAATTTCTTGCCCATGTGCAAGTTACCAGATACCAATAAATGCTGGGTTAGAATGTGTATCGTATTTGCTTAACAAATTTCGTGTTATTTTTACAGAAAATGCAAATACAATGAGAAAACGTCACCAACAGGAGATTCGATATCATTATTCAGGTGAGAAAAACTATTAAAATTAGCTTTTCGTTTATTCTAGACTCTTATTTATGTTCTATGCTACCTATTGATGTGAGAGGATTTCTCCAAAACAAACTCGTAGTAAATGGTGATGTGTTCAAGTTGTGATGTACGAAGCGTTTGGTGTGGGTATCAAGTAACCAGTTCGTGACGAAACTTGGTTCGCTTCAACGAACAAAATTATAAGCAAGTATCTGAAAGGTATGCTTAGAATATTGAATTTAAAAAAAAAAACATTATTCCGTTTGTTAACATGATGAGGAATTTATCGAAGAAAACTGCCGGTTTGGTCTTTGAAAATTTCCCTAAAATCCAAGCAATCCCGATCGAATTCTGTACCTAATCCAGTATTCCAACAGTTAAACAAGCTTTTCGCCCAAGCGCAAGTCGTTAACAGAGAGAAAGGATAAAGAATGCGTTTGAATGAATGCGTATCACACGATTGCGATAAATAGGACCGTAATTTTGTAACTCTTACAGTCATGAAGTCTCGTGAGATGCAATTGTCGCTATTTTTTATCATTATCAAAATAAAACTTGTGTTCGTAAACTAGAAACCTTCACTATATTTATTGAACATAACTGATAATAAAAGGAGACACTGCAAAGTATTGAACACAGTTTGACCTAAGTTCGAGGTTGAACCGAAAAATGGTAATCATAGTAGTTTTAAAGTTTCAAGCTCCTCTTTTTAGCAAATTGTCCGGCTCGATTTAAAAACTATTCCCCCTGCATGCAATGCAGCAATCTTCACTTGCGAAAAGAGATCGATGACTTGCCACCCGTAAATAATTTATGGTCCTATACAATACAAAAATGTTTGAAATATGTTTTTTTGGACTAAAGAATCCAAGTGAACCTTTATACCTACAGTTTTGGTATCCTGCGTTAAAGTGTTACGTAAGACGATTCGATGAATTTAGTAGTAGGAGGTCGTAATTTGTTATTACCGGTAATTCATTTCTGGTGGACTTCGCACGAAATGATTATCTTATAAACACATTTTATGAACAGCTTAGCTGACAACGCCGTTTAAGTCCAGAACTGAATAAATCTCGTCGAATCCCTTCTGGACATAAGAAGTAAATGAAAGCATACAATGTTGCACTCATGAATCCATGTCCCCATAGTAAATTATTTATCGGGAAACCATTCTGTCTTAAAAATTTAACAATACTGCTTCTACTCTACAAATTAGGAATTATATATGTAAACATCTTCGTTGATTAATTATCATTTTGATTAAATGTATACAAGTTCAGCCTCAAACGACCCAAGAATGACAACAAGAAAAAAATCCTTCCCTGGGTTCCTCCTTTTAAAACCGATAGATGATACAAGAATTCGCCGTCACAGTGCATGCAAAGAGGAATTGTAGGTAAAGTTAGACATCGCTCGTACTTTTTCTATTAAAAGAAAAAGTATCCTGAAAAGCTCTCAATTTTTTAGGGTTCTTGCTTTTTTGTAGGAAAAATCAATTCTTTTTGCTCGTAAGATTTGGCCATATTTTTAGAACCCAAAGCATTGACTCGTTCGTTGTAACTAACGTCCTGAAAGAGCAATATTACATTACATTTGAAAGACGTTGGGTTTCATAAGCGAGGGTCTCAATAGGGTTACTCTCAAATGGCCAAAATATTAACCGTCCACCGTCAAAAACGCAATATTTTTATCGTCAACCGTCAAATAAGCAAGCCGATGTTAGCCGTCAAATGTTTGAGATATCCTTAATTTAGGTAACGTCCCACCTTCGGAGGCCGAAAAATTCGTTTTTTCCGTTACCTAATGTTTACAAAAAAAAAAATTTTTAAATCTCAAAAAGCGTCCGACATATTTAGGAATTATTTTCAAATAAAGTTTAATAAAACAGGAGGGTGTCATAATCTCGTAAATGGGCGAACCCCACTGGGGGAAATATTCGCGGCAATTTCATGTTATTTGCATAGTTTGTTTACATCGCGCACTTGACAAAATTCACGCGTGAAAGTTCTCTGCTAGTGGAAAGTTTTTTCTCGTGGATGAAAAACAGACATCAAAATTAAAGAGGAGTGCCTAAGCAAAGTAAAAGGAAAACAGGCCCAAAGAGGAGAGAAATGGCACCATTTTGTCAGGAAAAAAAAAATCAGTCCTGGCACCCCTCTCCATACTGGCATCCAAATTACGAACAAAGCAGTCGCCATCAAATCTGCATTTCTTGTACCTAAGGTTAGAAACGAAGTTTCCTTTCAATAAGCAAGCACTGGCCTTGATACAAAACATAGGGAATCGCCTCAAATCGTATGAAATCATGATCAAACCTACCCGAGGGAACTCATTTCAGCGATAAGGGTATTACTTAAGCTGTCTGCTGATTTGATGTTTTGCTGTTCAGCAGTTTCTCTAGCTTTACCTTTTATGCCGCGAGTTTTTTCTTTGCCAATTTTTCCCATTACTCAACGCTCAACAGAGTGAGATAAAAAAAAGTGACTGCTATGCGATATTTTTCCCAGGAAAATCTTGATGCAATGTCATTGACGCCAAGAGGTCCCGTCTTCCCATTGGTTCGCGGTTTCAGTAGGCGATGATAATCTCTTGGTGTGGCGTTAGTTGTTTACAAACCTTTAGGAGCTAAAATCTTGCATTTGATTTCGAGGGGAATACATTTACTTTCAGTGAACTTATAGGGTATGTAGATTTGGCCGATTTTCGTCAATTTTCGCTAAAAAACCTTCCAGGGATAATGACGAACGAAAGGGTGTCAGGAAATTTTATTTTTGAAATATTTTTCACGTAGTGTCCATTTACTCAACCTGTTTCGCATATTTTACGGTACTCTAACTTTATATGCGGATATCTAGACAACCAATCAGAATATCAGAAAAGCCTGACACACTTTTGTTGATTAATGCCTCGTGAATAAGACTGTGCAACCCTTTTGCTCGTGCAGCGTGATCCGATACCCGATAAATTCAATAGAAGGACCCTCGGTCGTTTCACGCCTTACCGGCTCCTGATACTTCCCCCCATTTCCCCACTGAGTCCCTCATACATATGCGTATATGAGCTTAAAGCTGGTTTACAGTCATTACATAAAAGAAAATGGAAAGAATAAAAGAATTGGCCGTGAGAAATGGTGGAAATTATCGAGACAATTAGTAATTAAAAGCTCAGACTTCGGATTCTACTGCTTTAAATGAAAGCTCAGTGTCTTAATATATACGTCTTATCTTACTTAACGGACTGCGACTGCTTGCTGAGTTACCTAAGTGGTATTTCTTTTGTTTTATTAATGTGCAATTTACTTAACGTAAACTCCCATTCATCGCATATAACGTAAAGTTATTTTATTACGTTGAAGGTTATTGAGTATATTAAGGACCTTTAGCCATGCTTACCTTCACAGCAGAAGTTCTCTATTTGTCTAATTACAGACTCAATGCCGCCGTAATCTCGTTGACACCTATACAGCTAACTTTCATAAACTTAGCGATTAGTAGCCTAAAAAAAGCTTAATAATAGTTTTTTTTGCAGGTGGTTATACGAATTGTAAATTCTGCCTTCAGCACTGAAGGAGCGGGGCCAAGATACAGGTGTTAGGATGTGCGAAGATGCGTCGAAAGACATCCTTTAATACTTGTGAACACCACTTTCCCGCAGCTGTCAACCTTGATGTTGGATCTGATACCCACATGGCAGTCCTTGGCATAGTTTTCATTGTGCTTTCGTGGCATTTTGATACGGTATGCGACTTGTTTGTTCTTAGAAGTTAAACATAATTCTCTAATTTATTATATGGTCAAGTCCTTCGCGAATGACCACCGAAATAAATCTAGCGTACTGTTGCATGTAAAGTACTGTACGGTAACGGGAACGGGGCAGCGGTGAATGCAGTCGCCACCACCAAAGCATGGGTTTCATCTCTGAGCCTGGCGTCATATCTGGATTTAGCTTATGCTTCTTCGACCTTCCTTCCAAATAAAAGACACTCAGAATTTCGCTTCCTGAAGAAAATGGACGAGAACAGTCACCTTGGGATGTCCTCAGTGATCCTGATTGACTCAAAATATGATCTCTTACAAACTTCTAAACCAACCACTTCTCCGAGCTTTTCACTTTTTTACCTACTACATTGTAACTATTACTTATGGGTATTTGTCCCCTACTTCGAGCGAGTTTGATGTTTTAATTTTCCATTGCATATCTTATTGTTTCCAAAATTGACCGATATTACGACCACATTTTCATCACCGTTGTCCTTCACTCTAAATCTTTACACAATGTCTAAACCCTCTAGAAATTTAAGTTTTTGCCCTAGCGTGGGTGTATAAAGCTACCAAGCTTGCCTCCATGCTTCAAGATGCTAGCATAAAGTTAAGTTCGAGAGCCTGTAGTATTTTAATACAAATTGTCACTCGTATTTTTAAAATTTCTCAAGAGACAGGCTACGCAGAATCTTTGGAAATTTTTCAAGGAAAATTTTGAGATGTTTTATCATATCAGCTTATGACACACTTCACGGTATTGGCTTGTTTACGCAGATTTTGTAAAATAGAAATATGATTGGTGGACGTTGTGTAGCATGCAAGAATTAAGGGTAGATAACGCTTGAATGTTAAACAACGTCATTACTTTTACTGTATTATTAACGTAAACGAGTCATTCATCAAGGGCAATATCTAAACGACAGGATTGTTTAGCCGAAACGCAGATCGAGTTTTTAGATGTCGACGGCGTGGCTTGCTCACACACTTTCCTAGTTTGTTGATCGACGCATTAGTGTATGTCTAAAAGAAAGCTAAAAGATGTCCTTAAATTAAGAATTGGAAGAGCTTCGGCTTAATGAAGGCGTTAACCTCATTCAATGAGGTCCTGAAAGGGTATTGAGGCTCCACACATGCTTTCCATTTACCTAGATGGATTTATTCTTTTCCATTTTTTAAGACGTTATAATCTCTTTAAAGGCCCAGAAACTTCCACTCTAATCCTTGCCGTCTGTCCTGTTTTTTATGAATGGCTCATTGAGACCATTTCAGTACCCTTGTTTCTCACGAAATGATGCAAATGGGCTCAGAGAGCTGACAATAATCTTTTCCATTCTGCAATATTTTTTTTCAAGAAGCTAAGAAAAAATGGAAGCAAATGCTGTGCTATATCATTGCAGTGACGTAGAGCAAGAAAAACAACTGCCTTCTCGATAATAAAGTTGCTCGACTGAAGGAGGTGGGCCCCTCTTTTTCAAGAAAATTCATTTTGTTAATTTATTCTAACTGCGCTAACTGTGCCCTAACTGAGGAAAATATCTCGCTCTTAAAATAGCGACTGAATCTCTATTACGGCCACAACATACATTTTCATGTCTGATATTTAAGTTTTATTTTTTTTTTATTGTACTCTCTACCCTTGTCACATGCGCTTTCGGCCACGCACCAAATGTGAATATAAATATATTTTTAACCGTAATAAGCATAACAGGTTATATTTGCAAAGGAATTTGTGAAACTTGCACCGTTACACTTAATCAATTCTTTTAGAACGGACATTTTATAGAATCCACCGCACTTTTTACCTGAATCGACTACAATTGTAATCGACATAAACGGATCAAAATGTTGTGACAGTCATGGAAATGAAATAATGGCACGTGTAGAAGACTTTGCGTATGACTCAATATGCCTGCACGTAATTTTCTAGTTTCTTCGAAAAATGACTTGCAATGAATTATTAAATGGATATCTGATCGCAGCTTTGTCTCCTTTAAAACGAAGATATAGAAATATATTTACTTAAGAATGAACACCTTTCAGGTGTGTTAACATTTAAACTAATTGGAGAGCGAAAGAAAAAAATGAATCCTTTATGGAAATAATAAAGATCACTTTTTTACTGTTTTGTTTCTATCATCAGATGAATTTCATTGACAAAAACGAATGACATTTTACAGTGTTCCTTACGAAGCTTACACAACAATTTGACATAGCTTTTTTGAGGGGCAAAAGTAGTTTTAAACTATCAGCCACACATTATAAAGCCCAAAAACTTCAAAACAATTAATTAGTAGCGTTATTACACGTTTAAAATTTTATGAAGCCCACTCAGTCAACGGCAGGTAGCTATCTATCAGCGACTCTTTTCCAAGGCGAGGCCATGATCACTTTAAGGGCTGCATGTATAACTCGAGAGGCGCGAGTTAAAAAAGAACATAGGAAGTCACGTATCATTCACTAGTCTTGGCTTTCAAGGAGCCTGGCCGCTCGGTTATTTCTCGTATTTGGCCCAGACATAGCCCATAGCAATAGACTGATTAAAAATTGTTGGGTGAAGAGTCCTTGAAAATTTTTATTGAGACAGAAATGTTCCATTGACATGTTTTAATGAAAACCACTCCAGAAAAAAGCTCTCATATTTGTAATGGGACTGAAAAACTAGAGGAAACAGGGTGAAATACAAAATTTCTTCAAAGAAAATTTCAATTTATCACAATACAAGCGGAATGGTATTTTTTTTTTCAGAAACATATGTCCTCTTCGGGATTGTATTTTCTTTTCAAAAACATGTCCTCTTAAAGAGAGACAATTTGGCAAGTATTAACAGAAATGTGACAGGAGTTTTAGCCTTATCATTGCCGCGGATGTCTGAAGAAATTATTCATATAGATAAGAGTTCAAATGAAATGTAGGAGAAAAAGATATTCCCAGAATTTTGCAAACTGGAAATTTTTGGTTTCTAGAGAATTTCAGATCGATATTTTTCCACGACATATTTACCAAAAGGTTAATTAGTGTGATAGGACAACAGACTATTTCTAGGTAATTGTTAGTTTCATGTATGTTAAAAAATAAGCGGTATTAATTGTCCGGCAAAACTGATGTTAATTCCATATTTATACGGTTTCCCTCAAGAACAACGTCTACCAGTATCGCCGTTAATTGTGGGATTGAAAGCTAAATTCACCGCCATTCCCATAGTCCAAACTTTGAAATAAGTTCATCTTGCTAGTTGGGTTAATTAAACCTCGTAATTGGCGCGCATTCATAATTAAAGAGGAAACCTGCTCCAGGGTGTATTTTATGCAGGACTTATCTTTTCTTACCGGAAGAGTTGTGCTTTCTCGCTTTTTTCGTGTGGCTTCGAGAAAGTGTTGTACATTAGTTTTGAAAGCGTTAGTGACAGAAACTCCTTCAAAGAGTTTTGTTATTGCTAATGTTGTTTTATTGTAAATATTTACTTCTAGCAGTAATTATTCATTTTGTTTACTCAGAGGAAGTTGTAAGTTATGTGTCTGGGACGATAACTGGAACATTCGTTGGCTGCATTTTCTTCATTGTAGACATTTTAACTGTTTTATCTTATTTACACAAGGCTGATGATAATAAAGCCGTAACATCAAGGCGATGACATGGACCAATTTAGGTGACAGATTTTGGTATCAAATTTAAAAATGCCTAAGTGCGATTGGATCGCGATGTTAAGAACTACAAACAGTGCGCACACTGAAAAACAGTGTTTTATTCTCGCATTCTCGCATTTTACACGATTGATAACTCAATTCAGCCAGGCCGTCGATGGAAACAAAAGTCCTCTTGGGCATAACGTTGTTCTCTCGCCTAATTGTTAGGAGCTAGATTTTCCCAACGGCACTTCAAAGAGACAGAAGGCGCATTTTTGGCAATTTATTAAGCTTCATGTACGTTTATCTAAAAAAAAGCCTTCCCAAGAAAGCATCGAGCTGCCCACGGAAGTTGTCCCATGAAGATGATGCCAACATTTGAGCGTTGCGTTTTGTATATAATCTTCTTCACTCATTTCGTCTTCTCCTCAGAAAGAGTAAGTGTTAACTTTAATTCGAAAATCTTGTGTTAGTCTACGGAGAACTTGTGCAAAATGTTTCCGTTTTTCCGTTCAGAAAAACTGGATAGCCTTTCAAACTTAAACAGCTGGTTTAACATTGTACTTGAAATTTTTAATCAATAACGCAACCGTGGTCACAGAGATCCAATTAGCGTCCTCTCTTCGTCGATGTCCTTACTAGAAGTCTAGCATAATCGTTCATTTCTCTCTCTCTTTTGTTTCTCTTTTCTGCTTGCATGCTTAATGCATCACCTAGCTTCAAATGGTCGAGTGAACTTCAAAAAGTTAATTTAATTTTGTCTCCGCACTATTTATTGAAACAATTACTATTCTAGTTTCCAACGTTCATGATATGTTGCGGCGTTTAAAATGAGTCTTCCAGAAATTTTTTATTTTAACGTTGACCATATTAAAAAGATATCAGGTTGTATTTTAGCCATCAATCAATATTAATTTTTTCATCTGTGTTTCCAAAATGAAGAATCCTTTTTAGTTTGCTATTCTGGAGAAATCTCAAAATATAGTTTTCTTTTATTATCTAATTATGCAATTTGCAATATCTGCTGCTTTTCAAAAATTGGTTTTATTTACAAGTCTGACGTTTAATATAGGGAAAGCGATGTTTTGATAAGAGAAAAATTGCAGGAGTAAGGAAGGAATCCCGCGCAAGAGTCGAATTTTTTAAAATATTTTTGAACATTATGAATTTGGAAGCTTTCATCACCCTCCGCTAAAGTAAAAGCTGAAATAAGTTTAAGCACAATGGCTTTATCGTACAGATCTCTTGCAAGAGAACTGACAGCATTATTCAAATCATAATTAGTTTGGTTTTTTTTAAAGGAGTAAGTTCCATACAGCTCATTACCAGGCAACCTACAGCTGTGAAAATTAAAAGCTCTCTCGGAAGATACTATTCGCACAGTTAATTCTTAGTTTTTATTCGACTTGATCAAGCTATATGTACAGGAAAGAAAAGCATTTTATTTCAGCGAGCCTTCTGCTTTATTCAATCCTCAAATGACAAAGCTAAAGAGAACGGTTGTACAATCTTTAAAAAAATATGTAAAGTCATTATAGAAGCGTCTAAAAAATTAATATTGCCCACGCTGGAAATTCTCTTTGTGTTCGCAAGCAGAACATCTCCTAGCGACTAATTGCACGAGAATAACGCTTGAGTGCTGTCTCCAATTTTCTTTCCTTGTCTTCTGTCAGTGTCGTGACAGACTGATTCTCTCATATTAAAAGTCTTTTATTTTAGTTCAACTTTAATTTCATTTAAATATATAAGCCCTTACGTCGCCCTTTCATGTTTTGCGCACGGAGTTTGTTTTCTGTATTTCACAACTTCCTTTAACTCAAGACCGATGCAAGCCATTAGCGAACTGGTTATAGACCACTTTCATAAACGGCTGCCGAATTAATATTCTTTTGTTTAAATTCAAATTAGCCCTTCTGGCCTCGCTTGAGATAATTGTATTCTTTTGAATTTTGCAGTGGAGAACGAAGCCACAAGGGCTAATTTGAATTTAAACAAAACAATATTAATCCGGCCGCCATTTATGAAAGTGGTCTGTTGTCCGTATATTTTTTCTAACTTGTGTAAGATTGTTTAATTTTATCTATTAATGATTATTCATTTTTACCTCCCCTTCATAGTTATGAGATATTTCTCATAACTATGCATAACTATGCATAAGCCATTAGGACTGTCTAAGCAATAGACAGTAGTTCCAATCTCGGACCCAATCGGCAGCATCATATGTCTTGAGTAAATATCGTTTATTTGTCCCGAAATCTCTAATGTTGGTTTATCGCTCAAGGGTTGTTAGCTTTACAAAAAATTGCTCTTAAGGCTAAAATTGAATGCAATTAGTTTTTACTTTCAGTCCGATTCGAGTGGAACATGGCACGAAAAGAATTACCTATAAATAAAATTAGCAAAGCGATTGCAAAATGATAAAGTAGCATTGTTTTGAATGTTACCAAATGGATAAGAGTGTTGAAGTTAAAAGATGAGTGATTTTTAATTTGGTGAGGCAACCAAACAAAACAAAGGGAGATTTTTTTCAAATAATCGGTTCGTACTGAATATATTATTTTCGACCAACTGCTTGAAGAACTATCTGCATTGAACACGGAAACATTTTCCTGCAGCCACCGAGAATTTCAATTAAAACAGGAGGTTTGTCTTTTGAATTTACTTCCTTATTAACGATGTTTATGATGGCTAAAGGATAGTCAAAACGCGAGAGCTAATACTTAGCTTTACGATTAAGACTGTTAACAAGCCAATTTTGCAATATCTAATATCGCTTAGGGATTTAGGACATTAAAACACGAATTCATTAGTGAAAAATATCCTCATCGATTATATCCTTTTAGGAAGTTTATTTTCTCTTTCAAACTTTAATAGGAGAAATTATTACACAGCAAAATTTTCAGTCCTTTATGGCGAACTCAAAGAATAAAAATCTCGCCGTTGCAATCAAGGCTTTTAATATTTTATTGTCTTTGCCCCCTTCTTCAGAAATTATTCCCACGATAATATGATAATTTGCCAACAAAGCACTTTTTAAATGCAAATTTTCGTGAACTTTTCTCTTTGGTCGCCTCGAGTGTATTTTTTTTTAGCTATCTAATTGCCCAAAGGCCTTATAATACGTTTTTTATTTAAACCAGGCAGCTGCTGCTTTTGTGGCAGAAATATTGCTCATCTGACTAAGGTTTAGCCAATCGTATCCACTGATGACTGACAAATTATTCCTTTGCTACTTCTCGTAGAGTTTGTTTAACAAATGGAATGAGATTTCGTTGGAGTATCTGTTAACAGCAAAACAGTAATTCTACCCTGTCAACATTTATTTCCGATCGCGTGTACTTATGAGAAGAACCAAATTTTTTCCAATCATTCTTATATGACAAGCTGAAAATTTAATCCCTGAAGTGAACACGCTATCACCTCGGTTCCCATGCGAGCATCACTGATTGTAGTTCTTCAAATCCTCAGCGTTTGCGTCCAACAGGTAGACGCTCGAGAAAAGGTAAAGATATTGGCAACTTAAAAATTTAAGATAGTAATAACAGCTTTTGTAAACCTGGAGGTAAATAACGAAAATATCTATCGTATATAGCCAATGGGAAGCTAAAGGAGTCATGTTGCATCTTTGTTTTCCCTCTCTTTTAGGTTGCGAGCGATGGAAGCAAGCTTCATCTCTTCCAAGGTACTATTTTAATTTTACTTTAAACAGAAAGACGTAACTTAACGAAGTTTAAGCAAAAGATAGCGTGGACCAATTAGAGAAAATCAACAGAATTCCGTTTAACTTTTTCAAGTAGGAAACAGCTGGAGGGGTCTTTTTGCTCTCGACTACTAGTACCGTATATCCATAATATACTTCAAACTACATCTGAAATATTTTAGCAGGGTCAGTGATACATCTGTCTTCATGGAGCGATTTCACTGATGGGCTCTTAATCTAGAATTCAAGCGGTCCTCTGGCTCAGTAGTTTCTCTTTTAAGTCAATGGAAAATTTAAGCAAAAGCGAAGGCACTTTGATGTCACTGTATACTTGAATGACTGAAATTAAGGATGAAGAAAATACTAAGCAAACCACAATATCGTGAGATGAAAATTTCGCGCGAAGAAAATTGCGGAATCAGTGATAACCGCTTGCACATAATTTGAAAAACTTGAATCAGTTTCTTGCATGAGTCCCAAAGAACGAAAATGTTCATTTCAATATAAGAAATTTTCAAAAACTTTATGTAAACCTAGCTGGGTTAAAAGCATGTATACACGCCTTTGCGTAAATAGAAGTTAATTAAGTAAACACTATGTATAGCGAACAGGATTACGAATGTACAGATAACCATCCCTGCTCCCGTGAGAAGAATCTCATCAAGCGAATGCAAAATTTTCGATGTGGGTTGGCCACAGGGACTTGAACAAAAAGAACTAGACAAGTGTGTTTACTAATATCTTTTGTCTGCGTTCTCTAAGCCAAGTAAATAAGCCGCTGAATTTAATGGTTAGAAGCGGTCCTTTAGCAGTAGACAGAAGCCAAAACTTCCAAACCTTAGGCGCAAAAACCTATGTAAAACGTTCAATCTTATCCTAATTTGAATTCATGTCACTAGAAATGAAGTTTTGAGTGTAAAAATGGGATGATGTGAGCTGGATTGGCAGAGAAACCTTTCATGAACTCTGACGTTACAAAGTTGTCTTTCTTTCGGAAGTTAACAGGTTTTTTTTGAAGCGTTTCCAAACGTTTCTCATTTAGACAAATACGTGGTTGTACTCTAAATCTGATATTCAATTCAAAATTTAAACATCAAAGTTGCAAATATTCACCAGCGCTGAATCAGTGTGGCGGCGACAAAATGCCTCGTAATTAAAAGTTCCACAGATGATTTGTATGCGCAGAAATTATCTCAAGGCTGGGTAAATATAAAAAGAACTGAGGACAAGTTATTTACCGAAATGAAGGATGAACATTAACAAATGGAGCCTAAAAAAAAAAAAAACCGAACCATAGCAACGACTTTAGTACACGCCGCCGGATAAACTCGCCAACGGCGTTTTTATTCTGAAAATAGGACAAACCCAGTGTTATCCGTCAACAGCGCCACGATCACTTGCAACGGAGCCCTATCATCCTGTTAGAGAGCGAAAAAAGATAGCAAGAGAAATAAAAGGTGTATTCCCAGGTATTTTGTTCGTATTAAAGCGCAATGAGTGTGACCGGTCGATTACAGTAGACGATTTATCCCATCTCTGTGGACGGTAGGCGGGCTCAACCGTACAAATGAAAAATCTGATTAGTGTTACTTGGAGGGGGTCTGTGTCCAAATGAAACGTTTTCGCCCTCCTGATCGTGGCCATTTTGTATGTTGAAACAAAACAAAGAATTAAAACAAAACAAATAATTAAATTTCAGACAGGTTTGTACCCAGAAGATGGCCAAAGTCGCATGACAAAAAACAAAAAAAAATTATAACAGATTGAGCGAATAACACCAATGAAAACTCATTATCGAAAAAGGCATAAAATGGTATCTTATCTCCTTCATTCACATAGCTATGTTTACCAGTAAAAACTCGTTCTTACCGTTATTTGCTCTGAGAATTATCAGGGTCGAATATAAAGTTATCCATACCAGTAGTCCGATAACATGCTGTATTATTGAATAAAGAAAATGAAAAAATTTCATCTTCTCGTGGCAACAACGGGTGAATATTGAACATTCAGTTCAGCACCATAAGAGTAAATATCACAGACAAGGGTGTTACTTTATTATCCGTTAAATCATGTACTATCTTTTTATCTTGTTTTCAGCATCTAGCTGTGATTAAGATAGAGGAATCATCTAAGTATTATTACTGGGTATTTTGGGACTGATTCTATAAGACAAACTTTCAAAGTTTTTCATTGCCTTCTTTCAGTTTTTTCCATTTCCAACCTGTGTCGAAAATGATCAATAGTGATGCTGAAAATTTCTTCAGAATATCGATAGCACGTACGTATTGTTTCAATGAAGGGATTTTAGTCCGATGAACACGTAGTAGCTTAGATAAGCTTGTCGAGCATTTTTAAAAATAACAAATAAGAAATAAGAAATATCACATCAGAACGGATGAATTTTGAATTCATCTTTCTAATCAAGAAAGATAGTTTTCGTGATTTTTGTCATCTTTTGTCAACATTTAAAATGCTCCTTTTTGACAGAAACTGCAAACATCTTAATAAAAAATCTTTTTTCTTGAGTCCATCGATCATTCGATGCTATTCTCTGCCAAGAAAATCCTCAGTCTCAGAAGCAAAATAATTTGATTTAAAAGAACATTTCGACAAATTTACTGAAGTGAATGAGTTTACCCAACAAAATTATCTCAGACGGCTATTTTAATGATTCAGCTCTCTAAATTCTAAAATTCGCACCCCTCCTCAAAATTTGATTTCTTGTTGTCACCAAAAGATATATGTTTGCCCGGCCCAATCCGTAAGCAATTCGTTACGAATGCAAATAAATGTCATTTTTGCGCTTCCAGAAATAAGCATGCTTCACTAATGTTTGAACTTGAACTGCGCACTTTTCCTGTTTTTGGTTTACAAAGCAAAACAACATTCTCACGATGAATCATAAAATTTTGGCGAATCTATAAAGTCCTTTATTCTGGACGCAAAGCACGTCCAAAGATTGTCTGAATTTTGTCGATTTTAATTCCTACAGTCCGTTTTCCTTCCTTGATTTCACATAGCAAAAACATATTCTGAAAAATAGATTTGGAATCGTGGAGTATGCAGTTTAGTCTTTTTTTATTTCAATTAGACGTAAAACACGTCTAACGATTGTCTAAAAAATTCGCCAAAATCAATCCCCATGATTTTTAGACTGCCGCTGTGAGCGAGCTTTCGTTCAAGCACGCTAGATGTAGTGCCATTGTCACTGAATAATCATTTTACAATCGCGACATAGAGCTATGCTTTATCCAAACTCAATAGGACATGTCGTAGCAAAATAGAAAAGTCATGTGATCCTGCTGAAACATCACATAACCTCGATTCATTAGCTACTTTATCAAATTCATCGCTTTGGGATAAGCTCAGTATGTTTCTGGAATTTTCAAGATTCAGTCACGGGAATTATTTCTGTTATCAACTGAGAGTGGAGATCTTTAATTAATCTCATCTTTTAACAAAATGAAGAACTTGAAGTTTGCATATGCTCTTTCAACCCAATAACGGATAACAAATTCTAAATAAGAGAAGATGAAAATTTAAAAGTTCTGTTTAATTTTACACGGGCGCCAAAACAAAACCATGAACTCTTCACACTTCCGCATAATAATAAAACAAAGCGGAGTTTTGGTCAGTTGGGGGTCATTTCTTTCTTCGTATTTCCTCTCTCTTGAAGTTATCTTTCTCTTGCCGTTTAAAGAGCTTAAAAATTGATCTTAAGCTTCTTTTGCCATGTAATACATAGACACTATTCTAAGGCTTAAGGTTGACCGAATTACTGTTCAGTAAAATTTTACGCTTTTCGACTGTAAGCTAAGCTGATGAGTGGTTCATACAATAACTTTTGCATTGTTTACATAAATAGCTGCACCTGTAAGCACAATGTTATTAAAAGTTTACGCATACAAGAAGTGGTGCAGGTATATTTCAAAGTTTGGATATTTGAAAAGGTTAAATCACGACAAAATCTCGTTTCAACCAGTGTTTTAGTGAACAAGCGCGAATTGATGAAGTGAGTTGAAGAATATCTTTAGCAAGCTCCAGAAAAACTGTGAAGCATTTCCACCTTAACCGAACCTGTCTGTGAGCTTTCAGAATGACAATCTTTTTTATTTGCATAACAATACGGAAGTCACTTTAAATAATTTAGCTCTGAGTGTTGAAAGGTTTTTCTTAGCGTAGTATCGTTGATAGCGCTGTTTGACCGAGCAAGATGAAAATCTTATCTTCGTTGAAGCTTTTATTTTCCCTGTTATCCGTCAAAGCCACTGAATGGTACAAAAATACCGTACATTACTGGCCCTTCGAAGAAATTTCCAACAGAACTGTCATCGATTATACCGGTTATAACGAAGGCCGCTTAAGGGGAAGTTTTAATATCATCTCTGGCATCGTTGGTGCTGCTCTGGAGATTTCGGGGAATAATTCCTGGGTAGACTTCGGCGTTTTATCATCAGGTTCGTGCATTAACGAGCCTGAGACATGTCGATCCGACTTTACAATCGCTTTCTGGCTCAAAATTTCAAACTTTCAAAACAACAGAGTAATTCTACAGTTGGGACAGCATCGTTTTTCTCGAGGTTTTACGATTTGGACGCGAAGGAGTCTCAAAAAGAACATAGGATTCAGCGCTAACTCTTTGAATCGTAAGCTCTATTGGATGCGAGAATGGAACAGCGACGACTGGAATCACATTGCACTCAAATGGGACAACAGAGCCGGTAGTTTGAGGATTTATTTTAACTGTTCTTTAGTTAAGGTCGTAAACAAAAGTGAAGAGGCTATGCCTCTGGAAGACGATAAAGCATCGCGACAGATTTTAGGAGCAAGCCATGCGAAAAAGAAAAACACGAAATTGATGGTTGACGAATTTGCCATTTGGAACCACACCGTATCCGACGACCTACTGTGCAGGGTGTTCAAAATTCGGTCAGGTTGGTGAGTTCTTTTGTTTCGTTCATCATCTTAATGAAAAATTATCCAAATAAACTTCTTTAGTTTACAAAAACCTTCTCTTTGCGTTGTTCAGTGAAGGTGTTTGTAATCGTAAGTCACCAATGTAAATTTAATGAAAGTTAGCTTTTCTGCATTTAAAACGTGTAAATGGTGGGGTAAGCAGGTGAATGTATAACTGTGAAAGTTTTCATTCATCAAATGCTGCATAGACCATTGCTGAGTTTTTTTTCTTTTTTTTTCGCTTTTTTTTTGTTTTTGTATTCTTCAAGATCAATTTCTGCTTTTATATAAGAGAACCTTCAGCTCGAATAAGGAAATTTGTGAAAATGCTGGGGAGACTGTGCAAATAAAGGGAGAAAAAAAAAGTATAAACTTGATTTTAACTTGGGTCATTATAACTGTCTCTAATCAGCGCTGCGCTTGTTATGGTTCATCTTCCCTTAGAAATTAATGCTATTACTCTATTGACTCAATATTACTTCAAATTTTTTGACACCTCATTTACTTAAGCCAGACAGTCTAGATACCCTTTTATTTTTGTTGGTAATAATCACGAAAGTTAGCGCATAAAGCTTTGATTGAACTGTACTGAAAAACACCAAGAACACTATAACATAAGTGAAAATAACACGTTCTTTCGAGAAGGTCAACCTGACAATAACTTCATGTCCTACATTTTACACGGACAACTTAAGCCCTTGATACATTATTAATACCTCAGACACTTTAGCCAGACAATGTGCTTATTCGTTTACACTTAATTCTAATTCTCTGGAGCGTTGGCTTAGATAACCTTGTGAAAGGTATCTTCGCGACTTCTAAGGGAGTGCGCCGATCTGATAACTTATCCTGTGTGTTCTATTTTTAATCAGTCCATCAGATGAGGTGTTTTCCCTCAGGAATGGAAATGCGCAAAGGTTATTCCACTTTTCAAAGAGGAAGATCACTCCGACTTAAACAATTATCGCCCAATTTCTATCGTCCCTATAGTAGCTAAGGTGTTTGAGCGTATCATTTACGACCACGTTTACGGTTATCTCACCGAAAACAATTTGATTTCCAGCCAACAATCTGGTTTTCGTTCGCTCCATTCAACTGTTACTGCCTTGTTGGAGGCCACAAACAACATGGGGCTTCAACATTGAGAAAGGCAGTATAAGTGCAGTTGTTTTTCTCTACCTGAAAAAGGCTTTTGATACCTTTGACCATACAATTCTTATGTCTAAATTATTCGAATATGGTATCCGCGGTATCGCTTATGAATGGTTTAGCTCATACCTAGATAATCGCAATCAACAATGTTTCGTAAATGGTTCGCTCTCAATTAGTCAAGTTCTCACTTGTGGAATTCCGCAAGGAACAATTCTAGGACCTTTGCTTTTTGTTTTATAAATGATCATAAATGATTTTCCTAATTGCTCATGTATAGATTTATAGACCATGGTGGCCACTTGTATTTGTCGCTGAGTATCTAACCGTGATCATAAATGATCTTCCTAATTGCCTTTCTAACTCAGTTGCACGTATGTATGCCGACGATACTCACCTGACCTTTGCCAGTAACAACATAGAAATGATTCATGATGTTATGAATCACGACCTATCCAATGTTAATAGATGGCTCACTGCAAACAAATTGACTCTAAATTCATCTAAAACTGAATTCATGTTGATTGGATCGCGGCAAAGGATAGGTACCTACGATACTTCCCCTAAACTAATCATAGGTGGTGACATAATTAAACAAGTTAGCTCAGTTAAATCTCTGGGTGTGCATATAGACGAAAACCTTTCTTGGAATATGCACATTGAAAAAATAGCCAAGAAAATCGCATCGGGCATTGGAGCATTTAAACGTTGTAGGCCTTTTGTTAACCGAATCACGCTTGAGTCTGTTTTCAATGTATTAGTTCAACCGTACTTTAATTACTGCAGCGAGGTCTGGGGGCATTGTAACAAGGGTCTTTCGAATTAGCTCCAAAAGTTGCAAAACCGGGCTGCCCGTATTGTGACCTTCTTCAGTTATGACACAAGTGCTGATCCTCTTTTTGGGCAACTTAACTGGAGACGGTTAGATACTCAGCGACAAATACAAGTGGCCACCATGGTCTATAAATCTATACAGGGTCTTGCGCCGACTATCTTGGTTCTCTTTTCACTAAATATGATCCTCCTCATAATCTAAGGAACTCTGAAAACAAACTAGCTGTTCCATTGCCCCGCACTAATTTCCTGAAAAATAGCTTTAGCTATAACGGTGCGGTTATCTGGAATAGCTTGTCCCTTGAATTGCGGCAAGCAAAATCACCTTTATTTTTTCTATTTCACTTTTACATTTTAGATCATGTTTATATAGATTAAAGTAGATTGTAATTGTAATAATAGATTGTAATAATATTATTATTTTATCTAATAGATTTACCGTATCTAAATAAAAATATAAAGTAAAGTAAAGTAAAGTTACCTTGATTAGACTAAAAAACAAAAACACCAACGAGATCATTATGTGACTGAAAGTAATCCGCTCTACGGGGAAGATCACTTCAGAGCATGATTAGTTGCATCACATCATATATCAACATCTAAAGTCCTAAATACATCCAACAGCTTTACCTAGCCATTATTATGGAGAAGGCAAATCAAGTGCAATATTCATTCCGAAATCATTCCCAAGGTCAACATTGCTATTGCTGTATGGGAAGATATTGTATTAAGATTTAATGTGGAGCAACTACTCGCGTGAGCTTTGCCCGTCTCTCGAGCTAGCGCTTTGGTCACCATCATGTTTCATGGGTCATCCGTGCGCAACAGTATCCCACTGAGGGTCTGGAACTCAATTCCGTCAGAAATATATCTGGAATTTCTTGGAAAAAATGGTTTACTCCACTCAGTTTTGTTCTGTACATTTTTCTTTAAAAGCAGCATGGTAACCTGGAAAATTTACTCTTTGATTCACAGGTGTGACGCCATAAAACCAACTGTGTTCCTTTTTCTTACCTATTTGATGTGTTTTCATTCATTCATATGTTATTGATTTTTGTTTTGTCGTCGCTCTGTTGTACTGTGAGCTTTGTAAGGAAGGTCTCTTGTTTAGGTTGGGAAACTCGCCTAAACCAACCCTGTCAACTACGGCTTACCTACCTCGTATCTCTCTTATCTGCTTTGTTGGAAAATATGTCAACGAATACTAAAAAGATGATAATTGATTCACCGGACAGAATTGAGCGGTCAGAACAAACGTATAAAACCGTTTTTGCGTTTTACTGATAATTGTGAGTTTTTTATGTGCTGGTGGATTTTTTTTTTCATTGTTTAGATATGGTTACATTGTTTCACACTGAGTTTCTGTTAAAGACTCATTAAGTTACACAGTTTAACTAGTAACATCATTAAAATTAATCCATTCTCTAAAACCTTTACACACTTTGCAAAGCAAACGGGGTAGAAGATTTTTCTTAAACGGGGTCAGTTTCTAAAGAAACTGCGCTGGTGCATCTGTGGAGGGCTCGTTGCAAGATAAATTGGTTTTACAATCCGAGTTGATAATGCAAATTGGCCACCGTGAGCAGTTTCCAAAGCTGAAATTTTCGAGCGTTAGACCTTCGTCAATATTCGAAACGTCAGCTGTGGCGAACTTACATCAACAACCCATTTGATTAAATCAATTTATCTATAAAAGGTTGTAGAATACTAAACAGAAGATAAGTGATAAACCGACCGCTCGATAGATGATACCGATTGATGAAACCGACAGATGATAAACCGACAGATCGAAACAGACCAATCACGACCGACTTACGTCACTTGAGTCTTACAGCCAATAACATCACGGCAAAACCAACCAATCATTTCACACAAACTGGAATAAGAACATTCTACTGACAACAATCATTCACTTGACTCTGATGATGACTTCCGCACAGGTTGTCGAAACGTCAGTCACTACCACCGACAACAGTCCTTCTCAGGACTACACTCACCCGGATGATCAGACTACACCTTCATATAAAAGCTTACTCGTGCAAAATGAACGAAATTCTCTCTTCCTTTTAGTGGATGGAAATTACAGTGAGTGGTCTGATTTCAGCCCTTGTTCAGTATCTTGTGGTAATGGCACGATGAAACGGACAAGGAACTGTAGCCAACCATCACCGATAAACCGCGCTCTCAACTGTTCTTCCATTGGACACTCTGAGGAAGCAAAGTCGTGCTTTCTACAGGAATGTCCGCTGAACGGAGGCTATTCACAATGGTCGGTCTTTGGAAATTGTAGCAAGACCTGTGGTGGCGGGATCAAGAAACGAAATAGGACTTGTTCAAATCCGGAGCCAGAACTCGGTGGTAGAAATTGTACTAGTCTAGGATTGGCTATAGAAGTTGAAGAGTGCAATGCACAACCTTGTCCCATAAATGGAGGGTATGGTAAATGGACGGAATTTTCACAATGCACAGTTTCTTGCGGAAATGGAACGAGACAGAGAACTCGAAGTTGCACCAGTCCACAACCTAAATATGGTGGGAAGGACTGTTCACACTTAGGATCAAATATAGAAATTGCCATTTGCAACATTACGTTTTGCCCCATCCACGGGGGCTTTAGCGAGTGGACAAAATTCAGTAAATGTACGAGAACATGCGGAAAAGGCCTTCAGGAGAGAACTAGAACATGTTCTAATCCCGAGCCGAGTCGAGGAGGACATAATTGTTCGAGTTTTGGAGCATATGAAGAGACAAGGCTATGCAATACCCAACATTGCCCAATAAATGGTGGCTATACGCAATGGACGAGATGGGGTGAATGTAGTCAGTCTTGCGGAGTTGGAATTAAAAACAGAACGCGATCCTGTACTAATCCTATTCCTATGCATGGCGGAAAGGAGTGTGATGGAAAAACAATCGACATAACAGTTTGTAATATTCATCTGTGCCCCTATTCTCCATGGTCAAGGTTTAGTGCTTGTAGCAAAAGCTGTGCTAATGGTACAATGAAACGAACGAGACAGTGCACCAATCCACCTTCATCTGATGGAGGGAATTGTTCTCTGCATGGTCCAGCGATAGAAATTAGAAACTGCAACGTTTTTCCGTGTCCGATTGATGGTAATTATTCATCTTGGTCAAACTTCAGTGTGTGTAGTAAAAGTTGCGGTAATGGTACAGTGGAAAGAACGAGAAATTGTTCAAATCCTGAGCCGAAACACGGAGGCATGGATTGCTCTCCCTTGGGCCCCCCAAAGGAGACAAAAAGTTGCAACGCATTTTCTTGTCCGATACATGGCAATTTTTCTTCATGGTCACTATTTAGCGATTGCAGCAAAAGCTGTGGAAATGGGAAAAAGACAAGAACTAGATTATGTTCAAATCCTGTTCCACAACATGGCGGTAAAAGCTGTTCTGCGCTTGGACCTCTAAAGGAAGTGCGGAGTTGCAACACCTTCCCTTGTCCTGTTCATGGAAACTACTCTTCGTGGTCAAATTTTAGCAGGTGCTCTAAAAGTTGTGGTCATGGAACAATGGTACGAACACGAAACTGTTCAAATCCTACGCCAAAGCATGGCGGAAAAAATTGTTCATTGTTAGGACACTCGAAAGAGGTTCGAAGTTGCAATGCATTCCCTTGCCCAGTTCACGGATGTTACTCGACGTGGTCCAATTTCAGTGCGTGTAGTAAGAGTTGCGGAAATGGGACAATGTCACGATTTAGAAATTGTACCAATCCGCAGCCCCGCTATAATGGAAAAAACTGCTCTTCGTTAGGGGCCCCAATAGATGTTCAACCTTGTAATGTTTTTCCTTGTCCCGTACGCGGCGGTTACACACAGTGGGGAAACTTTACGCAGTGCACGCTGTCGTGTGGTAATGGCACCATGTATAGAACAAGAAACTGTTCCAGTCCTGCACCTCAACATCGGGGCGAGAATTGCTCAAAAATTGGACCAGCTGTAGAAATAAGAGCATGTAACGAGTACCCTTGCCCAATACACGGCGGCTACACGCAATGGTCTGCGTTTAGCCAATGTTCGACGAGCTGTGGCATTGGCACTCATCGGAGAACTAGGCAATGTTCCAATCCAGCACCACAATTTGGTGGTAGAAACTGCTCTCAGTATGGTTTGGACATCGATGTTGAAAGCTGTTATTTGATACCGTGTCCTATAGATGGCGGATATAGCGAGTGGTCTAACATCACTAAATGTACCAAATCATGTAACGTTGGAAAACATAGTCGCACTCGGCAGTGTAACAATCCTGTTCCTAAACACGGTGGGCAAAATTGTTCGATTCTTGGTCCTGGGATAGACGTACAATCATGTAACACGTTCCCTTGTCCTGTTCATGGTGGATACAGCGAGTGGAGTGGATTTGAGTCGTGTACACGGACCTGCGGCGGAGGCAAGCTCATAAGGAGACGCACCTGCACCAATCCGTCTCCTGTTCACGGAGGAAGAAATTGCAGTAGCCAGGGTCCAAGTATTGAGTCCAAGTCATGTAATACGCAAAAATGTCCAGGTACGTTTTCCTTTTTCCTACGTGTTATTTGATAAAACTCATGTGTCACTTCTGATTCAAATATGAATTCCAAAAATTAAAGTATGTGTCACTCCAAAAGCGTTCTACATTACCTATAAAAGGACTGCGAATAAGGCTGTGATGTGATTTTACTTTCTTGTTTTGGGAAACTTAGTATCACTTTGTCAGTTACGTTACTTCTGCAGGACCATTTTATATTGTCAAGGGGTAACGGCATTACCAAGGTTCGATTGCTAGTACCTTCAGTTATTATATCATACACTTAAGAGTTACAATCTGCCCAGAAAAGTTGAACAAATTCACTTTGAAACTTTACGCATGACTGTGGCAAGACTTTGAAAACTATCTTCCCTATACGTGATTAGGTTGATAGCTAAAAATCCACCCCACGCTTATTCTGATATAACTCGTGCTTGAGAACCATTATTTCATATAAAAAAAAAACACCTATTATACTAGAAACTATTTCCTCAGATATTGTTTTCAAGATAACAATAAACTTGACGTCTGAGAAATGGGACCCAAGTTTAGCTGCTGGGAAGGGCCGGAAGTTTGATTTTCTGACGCTAAAAATCCAGTTTGGGGTAAGTTTCTGAATGTCACATCGTTATACCATTCCATAGTTTTGGCTGTGTTAGCTTCAAGCAGTGGCGTATCTAGGGGAGGGATCCGGAGGGCTCGGGGCCCCCTTATTCTGGGTTAAAAAAAAAACTAACGCAGAGGGTAGAAAAGCCGGCAGGTGAACACACACAAACAAAAACGCTCAAGGTCTGGATCTGCCACTGTCGAGTGAGGTTAAGACGCATTCCCTATACTAGTTGAAGTCATAATTTATCTTCTTTTACATTTGGCTGATGCAAGGCAAGAAAAACGCTTCAAAGAGGTAAAAGGAAAAACGAAAGTAAATTTAACAAAACAACACTTCTTCATCGATGCTTTCCTTTAGATTAAAGAGATTATGGGAGAAAAGGCAGTATCTAATATTGGAGATTTCAACTTCAGGTAAGAAACCCAACGTTGTTTTAACTTTCTTTTGTGAAACGCCAGAAATTGAAAATACCTCAACTGACATTTAAACATGTTCAGGCTCGAAAGCCAAAATTTAATGACGTTAAAGCTGATGGCAGAAAAACAATTTTATCACTCTGACCTTTTCGTTGAAATTCAAATCTCTTCCGGTTAGTCAGTCGTGGATATGTTTCCTTGTCCTCTCGTATTTTTCGTCCTCGTTTTATTGGTCTTTCGATCCATTTCTTCGTCTCTTCTCATTTACTGTTTTTTGATTCAGAAAGGGAAGCGTCATTGTAGAATTCTCTGTCAACTTATTTCACCAATACTACCAAGGAATTGCCGCTCTTCAAGACGCTATCCAAGTTGAAGGAAAAATAGAAGAAACCCTAACGGTCTCTCCTGTAAATCTCACTTCACCAGATGGTAAGGGTTATGGACTTTCCGAATAGCAGTTACCCACATTTATTCTCAGCTTCAGCTAATATTCACATTGCAGACTGCTGAACTTTGCTCAAAAGCTATTCCCAAAAACAGAATAAGAAAGATGGTTAGTTTGAGATCAGGAGAAAAATATCAAAAGATGTTTTCTTTTATTGTTATTTTTTGAGTCCTCATGAGGAAACGAGCCTCAGACCTTTTAATTCCGCGCTTCAGTGCTCTCTTCAACTTAAGAACGAGGCAAAACGAAAATAAAACACTTATTTTATTGCCACAGAACCACACAGATAAAAACAGTAAGCACGTCACGTGTAAACAACAAGAAAGAGGAAAGTTAAAAAAAAAAGTTGAATAAAATGACCTTTAGGGAAATATGAAACGCAATTTATATAATCATGCTCCCATAAGGGCTATTCCTGGGGAGCCGTTTTATTTAAATTTTTGCCATGAATGAATTCAAAATAATAATCAGCTCACTATAATAAACCTTAACAGTTTCCGCTATCTTTTTAGTCCCAATTATTGCTCCAGTCAAAATCACCGCCACTAACTCAAGCTCCACTTCAGTTCTTTTAACATGGCTACCAATTCCAAATGAGTATTCCAATGGGCCTATTCTGGAATACAGAATTACTTTCTGGAAGGTAGGAAGTGATAACTTAGAGAAACAAGGAGCAATGCTATGGAAGAAGGTAATTGGCGGGGAAAAGCTGTCATCACATGTGACTAACCTGGAGAAGTTCACCAAGTACCAGTTTAGAATGGCAGGTGTCAATCATCGAGGGGTTGGAGTGGACAGTGCACCAATTGGAACAAGAACAGATCAAGACAGTAAGCACTGATTACCACATCTTATTTGAGTGCCCCTCTTGTCAAATCATTTCTGTAAAACATTATAGAGAAGTTGAACAGTCTACAATTTCATGTACTTATAGTAACTAGGATGGTCTCCCCATCGCTCATCAGTTATCTTGGTTGTCATCCTTTCTTGCATAGTCAGCTTAATTTATGAACAACGTATTAACTATGTCATTTAAAGATCTATTTTTTGTCTTAAATAGATTATATTTTAAATTTCAGAGAAGACAAAAAATAGTAATGAAGCGTAAATTTTCCTCTTTTTCTTAAATAGCACTGTTCAGATTACTTGTGTGGTTAAATGCGTTTCATTTTATAGCGCGTTAGACGGGTTTGGTAGGCTGTTGACTTTACTTCTTGTCAGTAACCATTGATATGGCGGTGTGCTTTGCGGTGTTTACCAGTAAATTCATCACATCCTGCCTGAAAGTGTTAGGAAGTGAAATTCCGTTTTTTCCGCGAGGAATTTATGTTAAGTGTTAGGCGCTCTCGTGGCAAAAGGACTGGAAATTTGATAGACGTCATACGACGAAAGAAAAAACCACGTGTTTGTGAGTAGAGCAATGCGAATTGTAAGATTTGCAATCCTATACTTGATCGATGAAGACTATTATTACATAGAAAACCTTAAATCTGTGTGAATATTCTGTGTAACATGGCTTGTGGGGGAAAATCCACGTAAACTAAACAAATAGCTTATTGATGAATTAAGTTAACCACGCAGATCGAGTGACTCTCACGACGTCAAATCTTCTTCATTTAATGTTCTTTATAGAGCCCAGTTCATCGCCGTCGGATGTAAAAGCCAGCAACAAAAGCAGTACAACCATTTACGTTGAATGGTCTCCGATCCCCAAACAGTTTATCCATGGAATTCTATTGGGTTACCACGTTCATTACACTAACCTGGATCCCAATGGATACGAAGACGTCGTTACGCGTATCTACCAGACTGGACCAAATAGCACCTGGATTCTGATTACAAACCTGCTAAAGTTCACGTCATATCAGATTAAAGTCAGCGCTTTTACAATCAAGGGTGACGGGCCATTGTCGGATGCAATCTTTGAACGGACACAAGAGGACGGTGAGAAAAAATTACCATGTAAATTAATAAGATAAGATACAAAATCCTGGAGATACGACCACGCCC